AGCCCGCTCACTTCCTAGCTTAGTACACAAACCCACCACTCCTGCTACCTAAAGAACAAAAAGGAAAACATTTCCGTCTTTTCAGAAGTTACCCGAGATACTTTGAAAAGTTCCCAGCAGACACTTAATGCTTCCAGGTCTGAGGCCAAAGGCAGTGGGTCTCTTAATCCAACAAGTACAAAGGTCAGGGAGGGGTGATTGTAATCATGACCTGAGTTAACGAGGGTCCCCTTCTGGCTGGCTCTGTGGACTTTGCAGAGCTCCGCTGACTCCAGCTCTGTTTGCAGAATCGTGTCAGGTGCCCGTGGGGAGGGTCTCAGGTATCAGGGGACCTGTCCCACGTGGGGGTTATCAACCTTGAGAACCCAGCTTCACAGATCCACCTCCTACTTGGTCTTCAGTCTTGGGTTAGAAGCCCTTCATTTATTTATTCATTCAACAACTACTGGCAGCTCACGATGAAGCTACAGAACAAAGAAGGTAGACACGCCTTTGCACTCAGAGTTTACAGACATTGTAATTTCATCAGTTACCTCTGAGGAGTGCTGTGCAGTGCCCATGCTGACCTGGCCCAGGGCCACTGGAAGAAGTGACATCTAGTTGGGACTTGAAATGAGATGCTGTGAAGGCAATTCAGGCCACTGGACAGAGGGCAGCAGTGGACAAATAGTAAAAGACGAGGCTGAAGTGTCAGGTGAGGGCCACTAATGCCCAGATAAGGTTCTGGACTTGATCCTGAACTCATGGAAAGGTTTTACGCCGGAGGGTGGCACATTCCAGACTTGGATTTAGAAAGTTCCCTCTGGCAGCAAGAACAGAAATTGCCTTCAAAACCTAGAGCAATTGTCTGAGAAAGAAGAGCCGTGTGTACCACGATTGTGGCAGTGTGTCAGACAAGGGATGGGGCAGAGACAGTTTGGAGGCAGATCTGACAGAACTCACTGATGAAGACATGAAGAGGAACACGTTAAAAGTGAGTCCGGCTGGTGTGGCTCAGTGGTTGAGCATCAACCCATCAAGAGGTCCCCAGTTCGATTCCTGGCCAGGACATATGCCCAGACTATGGGCCCAAGCCCCAGTGGGGGGCATGCGGGAGGCAGCCAATTGATGTTCTCTCTCATCGATGTTTCTCTCTCTCTCTCTCCCTTTCACTTCCTCTCTCTCTAAAATCAATAAAGGAAAAAAAAATTGATACCAGCCCTGGCTGATGTTGCTCAGTGGTTACAGTGTTGGTCCACACACCAAAGTGTTTCGGGTCTGATTCCTGGTCAAGGGTACCTACCTGGGTTGCAGGTTCAATCCCCAGCCCCTGTTGGAGCACATGCAGGAGGCAACTAATCAATGTGTCTCTTTCTCACATCGAAGTTTCTCTCCTTCTCCCTCCTGTCCACTCTTCACTCTCTCTAAAATCAGTGGGGGAAAAATATCCTCAGGTGAGGATTTTTAAGAAGGTGAAAAAAGTGATACCAGGTTTTAGATTTGGGCCACTGGGTGACTGGCTGGTGGTGCCTATTCTCTGTGGGAGGAAACACAGGATGAAGGGATGAAGAGGAGGAGGTCAGTAAGTTAGAGGATTTCAGTTTGATTCATACTGACTTGGAAATGCTTGTGGGACATGGGGTTGAGTAGGAGGTTGGCCACAGAAGTCTGGAGGTCCAGGGAACACTCGACACAAACGATACAGATTTAGAAGATACTGGGGCAGAGGTCCTGGGAATGGATTAACTTAACCATGCAGGAAGCAGAGCTGCCGCGTGGAGTCCTGAGGAACATAAGCTGTTTTTTTTTTTTTTTTAAGATTACAATTTTATTTATTTATTTTTATTTTATTTTTGTTTTTTCTTAATTGATTTTAGAGACAGAGGGAGAGAGAGATAGAAATAGAAACATCAGTGAGCGCCCTGGCGGGTTTGGCTCAGCGGTTAGAGCGTCAGCCTATAGTCCAGAGAGACCCAGGTTCAGTTCCCGCTAAGGGCATGTACCACTGTTGCAGTTTGTCCCCGGCCTGGTTGGTCGTGCGGGTGGCAGCCACGGATGTGTCCCTTTCATGTCGATCTCGCTCGCTCTCTCCCTCCCACTCTACTTGAATAAAATATGGAAAAATGTCCTCAGGTGAGAATTAAAAATAAATAAATAAAATATTTTAAAAAACCCACAAAAACATCCATGAGAGAGAACACCGATTGGCCACCTCCTGCATGCCAGTGCATGCCCCCCACTGGGGATCGGGCCCATAACCTGGGGTGACCAGGAATCAAACTGGCAACCTCTTGGTGCATGGGTTGATGACCAATGAGCCACACCAGCTGGGCATTATTTATTATTTTTTATAAATATGTTTTTATTGATTTTTAGAGAGAGAGGAAGGGAGAGGAAGAGAGAGATAGAAACATTGATCATCAGCTGCCTCCTGCATGCTCCCTCCTCCCCTCCAGGGATAGAGCCTGCAACCCGGGTATGTACCCTGATGGGGAACTGGCAACCTCTTGGTGCACGGGATTGAGAAGCATAATATTAAAGGGAGGACAATGGAAGAGAAGCCAGTGAAGGAGATGGAGGACTGGCTAGAGAGGTGGGTGGAAAACGTGTGGCAGACCAAGAAGAGTCTTTCAAGAAGGAGGGAGTAATCAACTATGTTGAATTCTGCTAAGAGGCCTGGCAAGATATAGACTGAAAAGTATCCATTGGATTTATGATTTATGGATAAAGACATTGATGACCTTGATTAAAACCATTTTTAATGGGTTTAAGAAAAGAAATGAAACATAAGTCTAGACAACTGATCACGAAATTTGATTTTGAGGAGGGGGAGAGTGATAGCAGAAGTGGGAGGGGGGAGGGGCAGTCAAGCGCTGAGACTGGAACATGTTTTAGATTCCTGCCATTGGGTCTACAATAGGGAAGAGCTTCAGTGCATACAATGATGGGCTGTGTCACCGTGGGCTGACCATGGTGACAACTCTGTTTTCTGTATTCATGATATTCCTGCTCAGTGTCTACAGTTAAGCTTGGACCTTCTACTCGCCTGCTTAGAACCTCACGTTAGGCTAGTTATCTAGGCAGCCGCTAAAATGCTCACAGCAACTGTTTGTTCGGTGGAGGTATCACCTCCTGTCCTACTCGGTAGAGACCCTTGAGAGGAAGGAAGCTTTCTTGGCATAGTTAGTGACCCACTGTTCCCATGACCAGGTTTAGACATTCTACTTTCAGAACATCCGGGAAGAGGTGACTTAGAGAAATCCAAAAACCAAAGAAATTGATTTTGCTTGTGGGTCTCAAAAGCTGAGGTTTGCCGGTAGACAAAAGACCTAGAAGGTTATGTGAACAGGGAAAGCCTGTTTCCTGCCCGAAGGACTGGTTTCTCAGGACCAGGAGAGAGAGGAAGGGCAGAGCAGCTGAGTTTGGGTGCAAGAGCACTACTGAGAAGAAGGGATCTCAAGGGCTTCCAGCCCCAACCGGAGCTGAGAAGGAGGGAGATCCCAGGGCTCCCCCTAAGCCTTGGCATGGCTGAGGTGCAGAAGAGCAGGAATAACCGCGTGTCTTGTTTAGGCCAGTGGGCCTCCATCAGCGCCTCCAAATGACCCCAGCTGCAGAGCAGTAATCCCGCCCTCTCTTTGAAGCTAGACACAACCCGTTTCCTCATCTGTAAAATGAGAATGGACCTTACTGTAACGTGGCCCTAGGAATTAAATAAAAACATATAGATGAAAGTCCTTTCAAATTGTCAAGCATTTAACAGGCATAAAGGATTATTATTGGGCTTTTTAAAATTATATACACACATACAGTTCAGCCTAACAAAGAGGAGCATCTACTTTTTAGTGCTTCGCAAACTTTCTTCATTGGTCAGCAGAGAGGGACACACAAGCAATGGGTGCCCACACCTCAGGATGGTCATGTTGGCTTCGATTAACTGACACTTTCCCTCCCCGTTACCACAGGTTTTTTCAGGTTTGTGATGGTTTTCGTCTTTAGCAGGATCCACAGTTCGATCGGCCGGTTCCACATGCGCATTTGCTGATACACACACAGGTGTATCCTGCTCTTGGTATCCCCCATCCCTGCATGAAAAGGAGGCGCTGCTTCTGAGGAAAGCAGGGCTGGATTAGGACGTTTTGTGGGTTTAAACATCAAAGATTGTGGTGATCACCACGGCCCCTTCATTAACAAATAGAAGCAATATTAAATAATAAAATATGACCAAGCAAGTTCTAATTCTTCCTATTATAACTATATTGGTACCTTTTCGAGATGTTTAATCTTTAAAAAGTTTTTTTTTTTAAATATCGCTGCTGGTACTGTGCTTACTATGCTGAGTCACCCCCAGACTGGAAACCCAAACAGCCAGGCTGGGTTGGGCAGAAGCGTGGGTGTTCTCCAACCCTGGCCATCAACACACAGGGAGACTTGGTGACTGAGCAAACCCAGAACACCAGGAGCAGCGATCAGACCCAGCGCTCCTCCAATGGGCCTAACCAAGATCCCAAGGAGACCCCAGGACAAGCCAGAGAAGCTGGGGCAGCAAGGAGGGCCTAGCGGCCCTAGAGAGGCGGCAGCGGGCCAGTAGGGGGCACTAGAGGCGGCGGAGGCCAGGCTCCACGAACTCGCTTACGAGGCGTGCCCGGAGGGGATGAAGCCCCAGCGGGGGGGCGGGGCCCGGGTGAACACGTGGGAGGGGGAGGAACCTGGTCCAGAGGGAAGAGCAACCAAGGGGTGGGCTCAGGCGTACCCCTAGATCCAGAAAAAGGGGAAACCAGAGCAGGGGAGAACCGGGGAGACCCAGGACTGGGCAGGGGTGGGAGGAAGGCCGTTAGACGGAGCGGGCCTGGGAGAGGACCTCATCGATAACCGAGCCGGGCCCGAGGGGAAGCAGGACCGAAACCCAGACAGCAGGAGGGGCGTGGCCACGGCTCGGAACCGGGCCAGGCGGTGCCTAACCCGGAGGGCGGGTCCGAGCCGCGGTGAAGTAGAGGCAGGGACCCGGGCAAACGGGGGCGCGGTCAGACGACGGCCGGCCGCAGGCCCAGCAGGTGCAGGCCCAGGGCGAGCAGGCCGAGCAGCAGCAGCAGCCGCAGCAGCAGCCGCAGCAGCGTCCGCGCCGTGGAGCCGCGGGCCCGCGCGCTCGTGGACTGCACGTAGCGCTCCACCGCGTCCGCGAAGCTGAACTTGTCCGGCGCGTAGCCCAGCTGGGCGCGGGCCTTGGCGATCTGGAAGGTGTGCGTCACCGCCACGCTGTGCACCTGCGGAGAGGCCGGGCTCAGGGCCGCGCGGGCAGCAGCCTCCGCGGCGGCGGAACAGGGCCCGTGTGCCGGGTCTCGCCGCTGCGTCGTCCGCCTCAGGGCGAACCTCCTTCCATTTCTGCATCTCCCCACCCTGCTGCTGAACCCGTCCCCGAAAAGCAAAGGCCCGCCTCCCCCCCCCCCCCCCCCAGCAGGGTGCTGTGACGCGGGCGGTCCTTGATGCTTGGCGGCCTGGGCATGGCTGTCCCGGAAGGTGCCTCCGGGAAACGCTGTTGGCTTCCTGGCTCAGCCCCAGACTGAGGCGGCCCTTAGCCCTCACTGATGAACTGAGCGTCCCCAAAGAGGGATTCAGTTCTGCAGAGGTGGTTGCTCCCCAGGCTTTGAGCTGCGGTTCTCTGCTGCCCCTGCTGCCCGATGGCCTGGAGCCCACGGGCCTCAAGGACAATAATGCAGCTGTCAGTTTCAGAACTCACACTGTACTTGACCCGAGCTGCGTCTCATTTAATCCTCTGACGCAGTTCTGTGCTACTACCCCCTCTCCTCCTAAGACATTTGAAAATGGAAGATCAGGGAGATTAAGTGCCTTGCCCAGGGTCACATGGGGAGCCAGGATCCAGCTATGCTTTCCGTGTCGTGCTGGGGCGGGAGGGTGCCCGCGCATGCGGGCCCTGGGAAGGGGCCACTCGCTCCTTGCCTCTCCCATGGCACTGAAACAGCCTCCGGGTCAAGCCCTGGTTCTTAGGTGTTTGTGGGAGGAAAGAGGGAGAGAAGTCAGTTCTTGTCCTTTTTGCCCCCCTAGTAAGTTCAGGGCTTTGGGGTGGGAGTGACGCACAGCTGTGAACTGTCAAACAGGGTCCTGGAACACAGTGTTCTTAAATCTCCAGGAGAGGTCATTTGCTCCCTAACTTCCTTAGAACTGGCTTAGGTGCCCCTTCTGAGTGCCCTGGAGTTCTTCCCAACTTCCCCAGTACAGTCGTTAGTTAGCACAGTGCGTTGGATCACCTGGTGACTGGGCTCTCCTCCCCTTTGGACTGCAAGCTCCTTGGAGTAAGGACTAAGTCTTGCTTCCATTGCTCAGCACAGTGCCTGGCACACAGCACATGTTAAACGAATGAAACGCTATCACATCAAACTAGAGGGCTGGTTGGTGTGTCACAGACTGACGAGCAGAATGCTCCAGCGCCTCCCAGCCTGGAAACTTTCCCAGGTAACTAGGGACCCTTTGCCTCTGAGCTGCCCACACGTGAAAGGAGAGGTAGGGGAGCCAGGTTCCTGCCCGATCACAACTCAGCAGCTTCCTGGCTGCTATTTTACATGGATGCGATTCCTGACTCATTTCACAAGCTAGTGGTTAAGCTTAAAATCACGTAGGTCTGGTCGCAGCTCGAATCTCAGCTCTGCTAAAGTGAGTGATCACAGGCAGGTTATTTCACCTGTGTCTCATTTCCTTCCCTGTAAATGGAGATGATAACATATTGCAGATGTCTAGAGTAGAAGTGACGATTAAATAAGATAAACACAGCCTGACATATCGGCACCACGCTAAGGACGGTCACTATTGTCATTACTCTCTTTCCTCTGCTAGTTCAGATGGGTCAAGGAGAAACATGGGAACTGCTTGTTTCTGTGGCCCAATCACCACTGCTGAGCGAGGCACTAAGCTTGAAGTGTGGAGCCAATTCCACAGTGCTGTGACCTTGGACAAGTCACTAACGTTTCTAGTCCTCAGTTTCTCATCAGAAAATGAAATCATAATCAATCTTTTTGCCCTTCCTAACTTCCCAGGGTATCAGTGAAAATCATATGAGAGTGGACTGGAAGTACTTTGCAAATAACACCAAACACCTATAAAGTTTACAATCTGCAATAAAACATCCTCTCTTTTAAACATGCAAATAGAAACATCATCATTATTTGAAAACAGTGTTCTGTACAGAGTAGGTACTTAATGTACACTTATTATTCGGGAAGCGTGGATAGTGAACCTAGAACCACAAGTCTCCACGCATGTGTGTTGAGAGTTGGCAGAGTTGAGTGGTGGCATTCTAAAAAGTAAATGTCATGGGCCCTGCTTTTTGGAGCCCCCAGTTTGGCTGGGAAGATAAGCTGGACAAAACGACAGCGATGAGGGATGGGCTTGGCGCCGGTACATTTCAGATCGAGAGAGAACAGCCTGAGCAAAGCCCAGAGGACCTAGCACTAGATTTGGGCCTCCGGGGAAGGTTCTGAGACCTCAGACAAGCATCCAGCTATAGTGCCAAAGGGGTGAATGGTGGGAGTCGTGGGGTATGGAGAGGGGCAGGAAGGCAAGTGAGGGTGCACCGAGCACAGGGGCTCCCCCCCGCAGCCCACTTACCTCACTGCGGGTGAGCAGCGGCGGGACGCTGCAGATGGGCCTCAGAGCCAGGTGCAGCTGCTCCATCACTGCGGCTGCGGGGAGAGGGCCAGTGACCAGGGCGCCTGGCTCTATGTAAGCTCCAGGGGGCCCTGGGGACATCAGTTGGGGCATTATTTGCTTTGCTAGGGGGAGTCTTCAGTTTGCAAACATTTTCTGTCCCTGGATTCCATTAAATCAGCAGTTCTCAGCAGGTGTGCCGGAGTGCCTTGTCTGGCTGAGAAATATGCAATTAAGTTGTTACATTTTAAGAATGGATGGGACAGATTCCAAGTTACCTCTAACAATGGCTGCCTCGCTCCTATTCCATAGCTCTCTGAGCAGGAGAAGAAGAAGCTGGGGGGTGGTTCTCGACGGAGCTGCACCCTGGACCGCTTTAAAAATGCGGATGTTGCCCTGGCTGGTGTTGCTCAACGGTTAGAGTGTCGGCCCTCAGACCAAAGAGTTGCGGGTTCGATTCCGGCCAAGGGCACGTACCTAGGTTGTGGTTTGGCCCCGGCCCTGGTCGGGGTCATGTGGGAGATAACTGGTCTATCTGTCCCTCTCATGTGGATGTTTCTCTCTCAATCCCAGTCTATCTGAAGATAAAAATGGAAAAAGTATCCTTGGGTGAGGATTAAAAAAAAAATTGGAGGGTGCCTCCTCCATCACCTTGCTTCCCGCGGATGCTGTCATTGTTCTGGGGTGGCTGAGGCATTTTCATATTTTAAAAGCTCCCAGGTGGCCCTGACACACAGCTGGGGTGAAGACCCTGCAAGTCACAGCCGGCCCGGGAACTGGGGGTTTCCGTACAGCCCTGGAGAGTGGCCGGAACCCCCATCTTTCCTCAGCTGGGGTCAAGGGCTGCCATCACCACGGGGGCTGTGCTGGGGAAGCCATCGGGGAGTGTGCCCTGCTGACAAGATTGTGCAGACCCCCCCCCCTCTAAAGGGCAAGCACCCCAGGGCATTTAAGGTACAAGTCCTGGGAGGTTTTCCAGGGGCACAGCTCTTTGTGACTTGAGGCCACCTGCCCCTGGGCTGAGCACTTCGCGCCTGACACCTGTGTTCCAGCTGGAGGGAGGCCGGCAGAGGGGTGCTGGGGGTGTGAGCAGAGGCTGATCTTCAGGGTGAGGAGAATCTAGGGTCAAAAGGGAACCTTACATGTCCAGAAGCACCCTTAACCTCAGGGTGACCTTGGACAGGACAGCCCCTCCTCCTGACTGGCAGTGCCCAGGTGTGCACTGTGCCTCTCCTGCTCCTCCCTGTGGCACGTGGGCAGGTTGCTAGCCTGTCAGAGCCTCAGCTGCCTCACCTCTACAGTGGGCCCCACACCACCCACCCTGCAGGTGGCATAGGGTTTCAACACGGCCAGGATTTGGGTGGGGGCTGGGAGCACACGCACCCTGAGAATGAGGGTTTCTTTACATTCTGTGCCCTCAGTGACCCCCTCCAACACCTGGTCCTGGCCCCGGGTTTAAGATGTGGTAACGCATGTTCACCTGGCACACGGAGGCTTTTGTACACACCCTCTTCCTTACCTGTCAGGTAAACCCAGGACGTAGGCACCTGGATCCAGGGCTGGCTGTACCCCAGCTTCTCAAACTGCAAGGAAACATGGCCTGAGATGAAAACCGTCCTTCAGGGGCTAGTGTGGAAAGGCCACATGCTCCCTTTACCCGGGGCCTGCACCGGTGCCTCCTGCCCCCACCCCGCACCCCCAGCCAGCCCACACCTGTGCCAGCCTTGAAATGAAATGCACACCTTGACCTGGAAAACTCACGTAGGAATTGAACGCATGGGGGTGGGGGTTCACTGGGGTCATTCACATCGCTTTGTTTCTGTTTACATCTGCCTACACCCAAACACACGCCAAGGCACTTGCTTAGAATCTGAGTCTTCTAACATTGCTATTAAACGGGGGAAACCCCAGCATGTGTGTGGAGGGGGAGACGATGCGTGAAGAAAGGGGCTGCCACAGTGGGAGCTGAGGCCTCGCCTGCACAAAACCATCTGCGTCACAAAGTCAATAACTACCGCCAAGGACGGGAGAAATGGGGACCCTCACTCTGCTGCTGGGAATGCAAAGGGGTGCAGCCACTTCAGAAACAGTCCAGCAGTCCTTCACAGGTTAGGCAGGGAGATACCACGTGACCCCGCAACCCCACTCCTCCACATTCCGTGGGGCTACCCCCAAGAGGAATGAAAACATGTCCACACACAACTTACACATGACTGTTCGTAGCAGCATATTAATACTTGCCCCGAAGTGGAACCCCCAATTCTATCAACTGTGATAAACAAAATGTGTAATATCCACAGAAAGAAATCTTTTTGGCAATAAAAAAGAATGAGCACCAGCCTGGCCAGTGTGGCAGGTTCAATTCCCGGTCAGAGCACATACCCAGGTTGAGGGTTTGATCCCTGGTCAGGGCACATACAGGAGGCAACCGATCGATGTTTCTCTCTCTCTTCCTTCCTCTCTCTGAAACCAGTGAGAACACATCCTCGGGTGAGGTTTAAAAGAAAGAATGAGTGCTGATATGATCCATGCTACCACATGGATGGACCTTGAAAACATTACGCCGAGTAAAATAAGCCAGTCACAAAAAGTCACATATTGTGTGATTCTGCTGCTATGAAGCGCCCTGAACAGGCAAACCCATAAAGACAGAAAGTAGATCAGCGACTGCCTAGGGCAAGCGGGGGTGGGGGAAGGAACATGACTGCTAAAGGATGCAGTTTGGGGGGTTCCTGTTTTGGAGGGTGATGAAATGTTCTAGAATGTATTATGGAGATGGTTGCACAGCTGAATATACCCAAACCCATCGGATTGTATGCTTTAAATAGGTGAACTGTACGGTGTAGGAGCCGTAGCTCAGCAGAGCTGTTGGAAGTCAGATTCCCTGAGGGCGTGTCCTCCAGCCCAGGGTTCCGGCCCTTCGGCCCTTGGCCCGGCAAGGAGCGTGCCAGCTGCGGGGGCGTGGCCGCGGGGCCAGGGCCACGCCTCCCTCCCGCTTCGGCCATTTACTGGCTGCTTTGGGTGCCCACCGGACTGTGGCGGGTCCCAGCAGAGTTCCATCGGGAGAGCAGTCAACATAAACCAGGAAGCTGGCTGGGAGGGATGAGGGCAAACTGGGGGAGCACAGGGCCCCCCAAAAGGGCCGCTACAGCCCAGTTCCAGGGTCACCCAGGGGACAGTGTTTCCAGAACTGATTTTGAACGTGAAATCTGATTTTTTAGAAGTGGGGAAGGATGAAGACAGGGAGAGAAGGGGTGGGCCCCTCGAATTCTCACTCGAGGTGGGGAGGGGCACTGGGCACCTACCAGCGGAGCCATCCACTCGAAGAGGTTGACGCTTTCCCCGTCGTTGATGTAGTATGCCTGCCCGCTCTGAGAGGGACCAGGAAAGGGGACCGTCAGGAGCGTGCCCGCCCCCGACCCCACCTTTCAGAGGGCTCCCAGCAGCCACGGGGGGTCCTGGCCAGTCCCCAGCCCTGGGCACAGCCCTGGGCAATTCCCCTTCAGTTCTGGAACTGACTAGCTGACCCCAGTGGAGTTTCTTCCTCTGAGAAATGGAAGGACAGCAGTGGGCCCTCCTGGGCTGTTGTGAGGAGGAAAGGCCACAGCGTGTCAGTGCGTAGCACCTGGGGACCCTCATTCTGGCAGCAGCACCCGACCGCCCGGGGTCACTGACAGGAGCTAACCCTGCTCTACAAGCCTTCCTCCTCCGCCCCGCCTCAGCTCCCCTGGGCCAGCCCCACCGCCACCCTGGTTGGGGAGAAATGCTGTGTGGGAGCCGGGAGTCCCCAGGACGGGCAGCTGCCCTGGGGTGGGGGCGGCAGGACTCACAGCCACGTAGCCCTTGGCCGCGGTGAGGGCCTCGGCCGCCAGCACGTGTGCCTGCACCAGGTTGCGCACGTGGACCCAGTTCATCTGCGTCCTGCGGTCCCCAAATCGGAACATGAACAGCCTCTTCTTGATGTGGCTCTGGGGGAGGAGGGGCGGTAAGCGCACACCCGAGCCTGGGTGGCTTTGCATTTCATTTCTATGCTGACAAGTCCCAAATGTCTAGGTTTGGGCGGGAGCCCCTGTCCCGTGTACCAGGAGCCTTCCCACTTCCCCTTGGTGGTTCGTGACAGGGGACTTGGCCACCCCGGTCAAGCCCAGCGCCTGGCTCTGCTCTCTTGCCCCTCCTCCCTGCCTGATGACACTCCCGATGCAGCCCTCCCAGACCCCTCAACCTTAACCTTCCTTTTCCTCTGTAGTACCTGGAACCTTTGAACATTCCTCACCATTTATCACGTATTTCATCTACCTCCTGTGTGAGAACATAGCCCCGCAAGGGCCGGAATTCTCAGTTCTGTTCACTGATCTGTTCCCAAACCTACAAACCGATCTTCCTCGTGTCCAGGTTTGTGCCCACGCTGCCTCCTCTGTTTGGACAACTTTCTCTCCACCACCCCCTCTCCTTGGTTAGTTCCTTCCTGTCTTTTCAAACGGCTCAGGCATCAATTCCTCCGGGAAGTCCTCCTGGACTTTCCCTCTCTGCTGTGCTCTCATCTTCGTGTTCTTTCCCTCTACACAGCCCTGACCACACTGACTGTCTCCCTGACCGGGCTGGGAAAACCCGAGACAGGGCTGGCCGAAGCTCCCTGTGCCAGCTGTCTCTGGAGACAGGTTTTCTGTATGAAGACCCTGGTGCTGGTGGCATGAGATGAGCCACCTGGCCCTAGGGTGCCCATGTCGGAGGGCACCACAGGCTCCCCGTCTCTCTGGGGCCACAGCTCCATGTCTGTGACCCATGCCTACACCTGGCTGGCACAGGTGGGCTGCTCCTCGTGGGCCTGGTGGGGCCTGGGCTCCTCCCGGACGCAGGGTCCCAGGCTGGGAACCCTGCCCCAGGACTGGGCGGTGACCATGGCTGAGCGGACCCATCCACGAGAACGCGAGCCAGGCTACCCCTGTGCCTCGGAGCGAGGCTGGGACACATACCGCCACGCGGGGCAGGTGCCTCTGCTCTTCGGGGCCGTAGATCCCTGGGGGCCGGAGCACGCACGTCCGCAGAGTGCCTCCTCCTAGGACACCGGGGAGGGCAGTCAGAGGCCAGGCGGGCCAGCAGGGAGGGACAGAAGGGCTGTCCACGTCTCCCGGTCCTTACCTGGACAGGCAGCAGGGAATACAGGCCCTTGGGGTTTCCTCATTCAACTAATTATTCTCTTGGTCAATCAGTTAGTCATTCAGCAAACACTGTTTAGAGGTGTTCCCCTCTCCTGCCTCTGCCCCCCGCACTGGACCTTGGGATGGGTGCTATGGAGAATCTAAGAATGACCAAGAATGGCTCCTGCCCTCATGACGCGCACAGGCCAGTACAGGTAAGACCTGGATGCAGGTGTGTGCACGGCCCCGACAGACACGACCTCCCTGGCTCCCCACTGCGGCCACTCACAGACGCCGCGCCCGCCGCACTCCCCGTGCCGGCAGTTCTGCCCGTCTGCTCAGTGAGACCAGGATTCTGACGGCTCCAGGGAGGTCCCACTACGTGCCTGGCACTCTGCTAAGCTGCGGTTTCTCTCCCTCAAGGCAACCCTGAGCTCAGGCCAGAGGAGGGACATGAACTGCCCACGGCACACAGCTCAGCCTGGAGGGCGGCGAGGGGAGCCAGGTCCAGGCTCTCGCTGACACCCCTGCCTTTGGTGACACAGTAAAACAAGCAGGCCCTTTCTCCCAGCGTTCTCAGCCTGTCTCCTCACTGGAAAACGGGTGCTGTCAGTGGTGGTGAAAGCTATTTCTAGACCAGCAATGAAGGAAGGACAAGACCAGAGCCATCATCACACAGCCTGCCCCTAACCCTCCCTGCTCCGTGCCAGCCGGGCCCAGACCAGGACAGAGCGTGGTCCCGGGGTTCCCCAATCCTCTGCTGGGGCCCCCACTTGTGGGGTGCTGAATGTGTCTCTGCTGGGGACATTCGGGGGTTCAGCCTGAAGGGCTGCCACAAATATATTTCTTTCAAGTCTTTTTTTTAAATCTCCACCTGAGGAGATTTTTCCATTTTTTGGTCAGATAGAGCGGGAGGGAGAGAGAGAGAGAAACATCGACATGAAAGGGACACATCGAGTGGCTGCCACCCGCACGACCCAACCAGGGCCGGGGTCAAACTGCAACCGAGGTACGTGCCCTTAGCGGGAACCGAACCTGGGTCTCTCTGGACCGCAGGCCGATGCTCTAACGGCTGAGCCAAACCGGCCAGGGCTTCTTGCAAGTCTTAGGAAAGCCTTCAACATTTCCAGTCTACTCTCACACTCCATTTGTGTTTAAGATTTAAATTTTAAAAAATTACTTATTTGTAGAGTATCTGACACTGTCAACTCCTTACCTGAGATGGAGCCTCCTGGACAATGTCCTACTTGGGGCACCCCAAGCAGCTGCACCCCATTTGGAAAGCCCAGCACAGACCAGCTTCTAGGACCAGAAGCCCCCTTCTTTTGGGGCCCTCTCCCCCCTCTGCATGAAGTCTGGGAGGACTGTCAGTCTAGACGTGCCACTGGCCCCTGGGGGGTGGCCACGGGACCCAAGCTGGGCCAGTGATGTGTCCTCACCCAGGCATGTGACTCCAGCACCTAAAACCCTGGGGAGACCGATCGTCAGCTCCTGCCACTCAGCCCCTGGGGCTGCCCCGACCTGTCCTGTCCAGACCCTGCTGGCTGTTTTTCTGGAAACATACTTTCCAGAAGCGGCCCCACATCCTTCTCGTGTAAACCCCCTTCTTCCCATCGTGAGCCGGGGCCCAACACCCGGGTGCTTCCCCGGCCAACACCCTCACCGGACAAGGAGGCCAGTGTGAGGAACTGAGGGTGGCCCTGAAAAGGCCCGTCCACAGCCCAGAATCTGCAGACGTGGCCCAATCTGGAGAAGGTCTTTGCCCGCACAGTCACGGGCCTCAGAACGGGGCCTTCCTGGATGGTCCAGGTGGGTCCTAAGCCAGTGTCAAGTGTCCTGATAAGAGGCTCAGAAGAGCCAGGGGGACAGGCCATGTGAGGCCCCACAGCCGCAGAGAGCGCCAGGCGCCAGGGGACTAGGAAGCGCCTTCAAGGGAGCATGGCCCAGGCAACACTCATTTCAGGCTGTGGCCCAGAGAGGTGAGAGCAGAAACTTCAGTTGTTCGGAGCCACCAAGTGTGCGGTAACTTGTCCTGGTGGCCTCAGGACACTGATGTGCCCAGAGGCAGGAGGACACGTGTGTCACACCGCAGTTCTGCACACCTCAGGACCCTGCCCCGGGCCAGGCGCCAAGTCGGAGGCAGGGCCCCAGGGACCATGGGGTAAGACTGGAGAGCACCCAGGGGGAAGCGGCAGGTCTGCACACCTCAGGACTCTGCCCCGGGCCAGGCGCCAGGTCGGAGCGGGGCCCCAGGGACCATGGGGTAAGACTGGAGAGCACCCAGGGGGAAGCGGCAGGTCTGCACACCTCAGGACCCCGCCCCAGGCCAGGCGGCCAGGTCGGAGGCAGAGCCCCAGGGACCATGGGGTAAGACTGGAGAGCACCCAGGGGGAAGCGGCAGGTCTGCACACCTCAGGACTCTGCCCCGGGCCAGGCGCCAGGTCGGAGCGGGGCCCCAGGGACCATGGGGTAAGACTGGAGAGCACCCAGGGGGAAGCGGCCAGGCTCCTGGAAGGCAGGTGTCAGGTGAGCTTTTCCGTAAACAGCCCGTAGCTAATTTTAAACTCTGGGTCACCTGTGCGTGGAGGGAGAGGTCGGGTTGCAGTGACATTGGCCAGTGGGGCCCTAGGCAGTCACCTCACAGAGGGGCCGGGCCCAGGGTATCCATGACGCTCTTGACCATGGAAAGCTGAGGATACTCATATAAATAATTCTTGGCCAGAGGATTAGGTGTCTGGCCTGCGGGCTGCTGCGCCTGTGGGGAGGCCCCAGTAGAGAATTCAGCAGCACAGAGTCAGACCTCTGGGAAAACACATCTGGAGGGTCCTGGCAGGCCAGGGTCATGGGATAAGGTGGGAGGGTTTTAACTTTTTTTTAACCTTCACCTAGTGATATGTTTATTGATTTTTTTTTTAGGGGATGGGGTGAGGGCAGAGAGAAACATTGACCGGTTGCCTCCTGTACATGCCACCACTGGGCATGGAGCCTATCACCGAGGTATGTGCCCTGCCCAGGAATCAAACCCACAACCTTTCTGGTGTACGGGATGACACTCCAACCACTGAGACACCTGGCTGAGCTGTGGGGAGGATTTTAGGCAAAAGAGCTCATTCTAAGACCTGCTCAGCTGTGGCTGCAGTGTGGTACGATGGTCAGGCCCAGGCTCTGTGTTAGAACCCTGGGGTGAAAGAGGGTTCAAATCCCATCCCTGCCCCTAACGCTGTGTTCAGTCCGTTCACCTCTCAGCCTCAGCTTCCTCCCCTGCAAATTTCAGGGGTGTAGAACTGCAGGCACCCCTTACCTTCCCAATCCAGCTGGCCCCTGAGTTTAGGTAGTGAGGGTAACTAAGTTTTCTGATTTTTTTTTTAGTTTCTGAATTTTGGAAAGCAAACAGGGACAACATGGATAGCGAGGAGTTAATGTCATCTACCCGGTTCTGAGTTTGGGAAGCAAGAGGCGGCTCTGACGTCGCGGTGAGCAGCCTGCCCGCCATCGCATCCTCACACAGCGCCACCCGCGCTTCTCCCCAGGTGAGGACACTGAGGCAGAGAGGACCGGTCGCGGCCAAGATCACGCAGCTAAGAGGGCCGGAGGCTGGGTGTGAACCCGGGGCAGTCTGATGCGGTCGGTGGGCGCGTGGCCACCGTGCTGTGCCGCCACCTGTCCGCACCCGTCACTGCCTCTCTGTGGCCAGAAACGGCCGTGCAGCGAGGCTCAAGCCCAGTGTGTCAGGGCGTTACCTCGATAACTGGCACCACCCCTCCAAATGCCCCGCTTGTTCCGTATCCATGACCACGTGCTCTTTATCTAAGAGGGACCTCAAACTGCATCCACGCTGGTCTCTTCCCGCCGGCCCGTGAACGACGGAGGGCTGGACGGGGCCTGACGGTTTCTGGGCTGCACCCCGGTGGGGTGGGAGCATAGCAGGTGCTCAGATACGTTGGGCGGTGAATGACCAAGCCCTGGGGAAGTGTCCTCTGGAAGGAAGGCGGGCCTCGGACACACGCCCGCTGAAAGCTAGAACCACACATACCTTTTGGGGAGGGGGCGGGGGCACACACGTTCGCTGTGAGTGGGGCCATGATACTCACCCGGGAGAGGTGTCCCGTTGGCCATGAGGATCAGCTGGTCGGCGATGGCTTTGGTTCGGGAGTAGTGGTCCATGTGCTGTCCAAGGACAGGGAGAACAGAGCCCAAAGGGGCCGTGGTCAGCGACACTGCTGGCCCAGCCCCAGGGCTGCAGCTGGGCTTCCGACCCCTCGAGGGCTGGATTCTGGGGACCCTCAGTGGGAAGGGCCGACCCCAGGGCCCCACTGTCCCCTCTCCCCCTGAGGGCAGCCACGGGAGCTGGGCCCCTGCCAGCCTGGGCCTGCTCGGGGCACTGATGCTGGACGTGTCCTCTCAGTTCCTACATGTAGCCCTTGAGGGTCCACGTGGCATTTCTGCGTCCACCCTCTCATTCCTGTGCTCCATAACCCTATAGGTCATGTTGTCATGCCAGAAGAAAGAGAGGCTCAGAGCAGACGGACGGACGTGCTCAGGGTCAGACAGGTACAAAGTGGCCGGGCGGCCAGAGGCCAGGTCTGTCTGATTTCAGAGTTCCTGTCGGCGTGAGCAGCCAGAACAGCAGAGGGCTGGTGCCACCCCGTGCGGGCCCTTCACCCTGGGTCACCCGAGCTGTGGACTGACTCTGGCTCCACCCACCCCTTTCCTGCGGGCTGTGGGTCCCAGGCTGTTGGTCCACCTCTCCTGGAAGCCAGTACCTTCTCCAGTGGAAAGTATGGCACAGAGTCCTCATCGCCCTGCTCTATGGGCTTCCCGCCAAACGCAACATTCACGGTGCTGGTGTAGACGAGCCTCGGGACCTGCCGGCGGACACAGACTACAGCAACAGATCACAAAGTCAAACACACACAGAAACAGACACACACACAGACACACACGTGCACACACATGCACACAGACACACCCACACACGTGCACACACGTGTGCACACATGCACAGAGACACACGCACACGCAGAAACACACACATGCACACAGAGACATGTGCACACACAGAAACACACACACACACAGAAACACACGTGCACACACACGCACACAGACACATCCACACACACACGTGTGCACACATGCACAGAGACAAGCACATAGACACACACGCACACACAGAAACACACACACGCACACAGAAACACATGTGCACACATGCACACACAAACACACCCGCAGACAGACACACACAGACATGTGCACACACAGAAACACACGTAAACACACACGCACACAGAGACGCACATACACAGAGATATGTGCACACACACACACACACACCCGCACACACACACACCTGCAGACACACACAGACACAGCCCCGCAGCCAGTGTGTGCAGGCAGTGGGCTGAGGTGCTGGCCCTGGGGACCATCCCAGAATGTTCGGGGGCTCAGCAGGGAAGGTTGTCCTTCCCTCAACTTGGGATGTGGGCCTAGTGCCTGCTCTGTGGGCCCCTGGATGCCAGGCCACTCACTCCTCCTCCTCTGTGTGGCTGTGGCTCCTGGGTGCCTGGCCAGGGACAGGTCAGAAGAAAGTCTCACTCAGTGGGGACAAAGAAAAGCACACTCCAGAGTCAGAGAGAGAAGAGAGGTGCAGGACATGCCCAGAGCCCACGTGGGGGTCTCCTATTTTGGTGCCTCAGTGACTTTTTTCACTCCCCACTCCTAGCCCTGTGTGCAGACTCTGCCCCCCAGGCCCTACCACTGCCAGCCCATGCTGACGCCCCCTGCGGGCCTGGGCAGGTCTGCCGCACACGGAGGGTGTGCTGCCCACAGGCCCTCCGCTGGGGGGAGCAGAAGAAGGGGGGGGCACCTCTGCCCCTTCCCGTCCCCCAGGGAAGGCCTGTGGCAGTAGGGAGAGAGCAGGAAACACGGCAGGCCACACACAGCCCCAGGGCCTACCGTCGATCACCAGTTTGGTGCCACGGACATTTACAGACTCAATCTGCTCTTTCTGAAGCTAAAAAACAAGATGAGGTGGGGAAGTCGTGGGGCTGCCTCCCTACTTGTCACTGAGGCCATGAGGGCGGGGACTGCAGAATGTCCGGCTCAGAGGCAGGGCTCCCGAGGCCCAAGGGCAGAGGGGAGCCCGAGCTCCAGGCCCAGCTGCCACTGTCGCCCTGGCTGGGAGGCTCTGTCTGCAGTCTGGCCTCCGCTCCCTCACCTGTAAAGTGAGGGCAGACCTCTGTGTGGTCGGCAGGACACCACGAGCCCCATGGGAGGACCTGGTGCGGTGCGGGACACAGAGCCCTCCTTGCCTTATCTGTACCGTGGACACAGTGGCACTGTCCGTGCTGGGAGGGGCTCGGGTGAAGTACAGGATTAGTTGGTCTGCAGTGAGACCTGCTGTGTGCCAGGGACAGGGCAAGGCTCTGGGTGACGCCTAATCCTACGGCCACACTAGGAGGTGTTCTCCACTGACTTTTAAACCGTATGTATTTTCGATGTGGTTGTCTTTGTTTTTTGGGGAATTCAATCACAAGGTTAAAAACTATTCAGCCCTGGCCAGGCTGGCTCAGCAGTTAGAGTATAAGCCTGCAGACCAAAGGGTCACAGGGTTCAATTACAGCCAAGGGCACGTACCTGGGTTGCAGGTTCGATTCCCGGCCCCAGTTGGGGTCATGTGGGAGGCAACCAATGGATGTGTCTCTCTCACATCGATGTTTCTCCTTCCCTCCCTCCTACTCTATCTGAAAATCCAAGGAAAAATATCCTCGGGTGAGGATTAACAACAAAATCACTTAAACGGTGAAAAGGGTCAGAGTGAAAAGGAAAGTGACTTCCCTGCACTGCTGACTCCATCTCCCCTCCCCCCAGAGCCCACCACTGGCTCCAGTCACGTGCATTTCTGGAAACAATCTGCACGTGAACACCAGCACATGCGGATGTGTGAGTGTATCAGCACTGACCCAGACGTCAGGATCAGCACACAGCGAGTTACCTCATTCCTCTGAACGTCCTTGTGTGGGTATATCGCAATTTATATAACTAGTCCGCCACGGATGGGTATTTAGGTTAATTCCTTGTGTTATCAAAAACAATACTGCTAATATGCAAATAAGTGTGATTTCTGAGTCAGAGAGTATGAGTGTTTTGCTAGACACTGTTGATGTAAGTACTAGTGATGTCCTCACTTGACAGATGAAGAGAGAGTGGGTCAGGGAGGTGGCGTTGACTTGTCCTAGGCCACAGAGCTAGGACGTGGCAGAACTGGCATTTGGTCCCCTGAATGCAAAATGTAGGCTGGTGCAGCCCAGGTCTCCCCGGAGCGGGGGAAGAGCATCCGTGAACACACGACCCGGGCGCAGGGCAGCAGAGCCAGGGTCTGACCCCACTCTGCATACCGCTAGGTACCGCACGTGAGGGGCTCACCTTCTCGGCACCAGACATTCCGTGGGAGGCCACGTGGAAGACACAGTCCACCCCCTCGAAGGCACGAAGCAGGGCTTCCTCATCTCGGACATCAGCCTGAAACAGAAGGAAAAGGTGGGTGGGGTTCGAGGTTTGAGTCTAAGGCAGATACCACAGTGTACCTGCCAGGTCCCAGAGCTGGCCCCAGCTCCACCCAGGCTGGGCATCCGTGGGGCCAGGAGGGCTGTGGGGCAGGATTTGCATGATCCCACAGGATGTCACCACCGTCACTGGCCCTGTTTGCCAAGCTAAGTCCCAGCGGCCGTGCTCAGTGAGTGCACTAGCTCATCGAGCCCGCACGAGACCTCGTGAGGCAGACATTGTAGGGTCCCGTTTCTGTGGATGAGGACACGCGGCTGAGATGTGGAACCTGTGACCATGGCAGTGCAGCTGGGAAGTACTGGGCAGAGTTGGAGCTTAAACTGCTCGTACTCTCCTTCAACACCACACACTGGATTTGCACCAGATACCATCTCCAGACCACCACCACACAGCCTGGACCTCCCTCCTGTCCCCCAAGCCCTCGTTACTGTACCTGGATGAACTCGGTTCCTGGGGACAGCTCCCACTGGGGTCTGCGGAGGTCGAGCAGGATGACAGAGGAGCCACTCTTGGCCAGGCTGGAACCCAGGCTGAAGCCCAGGTAGCCTCCTCCTCCAGTCACCAGAAACTTCTGCCTCGGGGCCTGCACAGGTGTGGCTTGAGTCTTATGCTGTGATGCTGGTGATGGGGCTGTCGTAGGCTCACTGGGTTTCAGACCAGTTCCAGTCTCACGCCTGAGCCCAGGCTCTACCCCTGGCCCAGGTATTGACCCAGCTCCTGGTCCAGGCCTCAGACCTGAAGTAGCACCATGCCCCGGTCCAAGTTCTGAAGCAGCACCAGGCTTTGGCCCAGGTCCCAGAACAACACCAGGTCCTGGAGCAGCACCAGGTCCCAGAGCAACACCAGGTCCCGGCCCAGGTCCTGGAGCAGTACCAGGTCCCGGAGCAGCACCAGGTCCCGGAGCAGCACCAGGTCCCAGCCCAGGTCCTGGAGCAGCTCCAGATCCCGGAGTAGTACCAGGTCCCGGAGCAGTACCAGGTCCCAAAGCAGTACCAGGTCCCAGCCCAGGTCCTGGAGCAGCACCAGGTCCCGGAGTAGTACCAGGTCCCGGAGCAGTACCAGGTCCCAGCCCAGGTCCCGGAGCAGCACCAGGTCCCGGAGCAGTACCAGGTCCCAGCCCAGGTCCCGGAGCAGTACCAGGTCCCGGAGCAGCACCAGGTCCCGGAGCAGCACCAGGTCCCAGCCCAGGTCCCGGAGCAGCACCAGGTCCCGGAGCAGTACCAGGTTCCAGCCCAGGCCCCGGAGCAGCACCAGGTCCTGGAGCAGCACCAGGTCCCGGAGCAGCACCAGGTCCCGGAGCAGTACCAGGTCCCAGCCCAGGTCCTGGAGCAGTACCAAGTCCTGGAGCAGCACCAGGTCCCGGAGCAGCACCAGATCCTGGCCCAGGTCCTGGAGCAGCACCAGGTCCCGGAGCAGCACCAGGTCCCGGAGCAGTACCAGGTCCCAGCCCAGGTCCTGGAGCAGCACCAGGTCCCGGAGCAGCACCAGATCCTGGCCCAGGTCCCGGAGCAGCACCAGGCCCAGGTCCAGTCCCTGAAACTGTTCCAGGCCCTAGCCCAGGCCCTGACTCAGATCCCGGGCCTGAGACCCCTCCCCAGGCCTGGCAGACAGGGCAGCTCTTATCTTTCTGGCCCACAGCTTTGCAGGCCTCCGGGGAGGAGCCTGCTGGGTTGGGCTTCATCCTCTATTGAGCCATGTGGACCCAGGATCTGTCCACCTATAGGGAAAAAGAGAAGAACACATGTTCTAGACTTGTCTCAAGTCTCTACGATTATCAGACCCCTAGGGGCTAAGGGAACTCTTGGTGAGAATGATATCCTTGGGTTTGCAGGAAACCTGTCCTGTTCAGAATCTTGAGACCTTCCAAGGTGGCTGCTGCCTCACTCAGAGAGTCAGAGACAAGGCAGTCAGGCCTTGGGCTTTACAGCTGGGGAAACCGAGGCCCAAAGTCCACTGCCTGGCTGAAATTCACACCAAGTATCTGTGACCTTTCTGCCAGTCCCTAAAACCCCAGCCCCCATGTAGTACAGAGGGAGGCAGATCAAATCACATCAGGGGACCTCGCCAGACCGGGGAGATACAGAGGGCTTCCCGGAGGAGGGAGATGAAGAGGAGGAGGAAGAGGAGAGGAATCCACGTGGGATCCAAGCAGGCCCTGTGCCTTGCACCCTTCCAAATGCTGCACCACCCCACCCCGTCCTGACAACTCTGCCTCTGGTCTGCAGGTCCCCTCACAGTGCAGGCTGCCACGACCAGGTCTGCCCAAGCCCACCACAGGCTTCAGGGTTAGGGCTGGGGAGCCTGTGCTCCTCACTCTACCCTGAATGCAGGCCAGGCTGTCGGTGCGTCAGGTCACTGTCCCTCTGCTCTCCGCCTCCTGCTGCACCCGGGGTGAGGCTGGGCAGGGACCAGATATCATCATCATCAATAACAGCAGAAACCATGTACAGCACGCCCACTGTGTGCCAGGCCCAGTGGGTACAGCACGGCACACAGTGGCTGTAAAAAGGACAGGTGTGACGCATGACTGAATGGCCAGCCCCGTGATTGTTGCTGGTGGTTGGTGGCCATGAGGCAAGGGACCCTGACAGCAGTAGGGACTGGACCTTTCTGTTTCCTGTGACTGCCCTGCTCTTCGAAGATCCGGCATGCATGGGTTTAATGGGGGAAGACGCCCCAAATCTGATGCCCCCAGAGGGAAGAGAGGATGCAGCCCGAATGTGGGGTCACCTCTACCCAGACCCAGGGGACTGTTCTGGGAGGGCCTGTGGGAGGGACAAGGCAGTCTTTCTAGCCTCTGGGGATGATTTCAGGGACAAAGGCTGGGATGCTGCCTTGGGGATCCATTTTTCTGGGTGCACCCTTGGGCAAGATCCTTAAAACCTAACAGCACCTCAGTATCCAGAGCTGTAAATGGACCCAAATAACCTGGCCACTCCATGAACCTCACAGGGAGGTCACGAGAGGACCGAGGGCAATGCCCTGGGGAACCGCTGACCGCACCCTCCGGGACGGCCCTACAGGTCGCATCCCAGCACCTAGAACTGTGCGGGCACCAAGGGCCTCAGGCCCAGCGCCCAGCGGAGAAGCCCCTGCGCCACTGCTTGCGCACAGCTGAGGTGGAGGCTGCTGTTCCCAGCATCCAGAGGTGGAAACTGAGGCTCAGCGAACATTCGCGAATTTTAAAGGAGTCACAGTAAATGGCTGGGCCTGGATCCAGGTCGATGGTGACTCCAAAGCAGGGTTTGGTGAAAGGGGGTCAGGACCAACCCCAGGCGCGCCGGCCTTTCGGGGAGGCAGGAGCGGGGCCCCCACACCGAGACCGGCCGGTGCCCGCAGCTCGGGGCGGCTCCTCCCCTCCCGGTCCCCGACCCCCGGCCCCCGGCCCCGGCCCCGCGCCCACGCCCGCGGCGCTCACCTCGCCCGGCTCCTGCAGCGCTCGTGCCCGGAGCTGCGCCCGCGTCTCCCGCCCGCGCGGCCCGGCTGCGGGCCCCCGCCTCGTGGGGCGGGGCCAGCGGGCTCCCGGACCGCCCCGCGCCTCCTCCCGCGTCCCCGCCGGCGCCCCACGTGGACACCCGGTCCTCTAGGCGGGGTCCTGCGGGCTCTCTCCGAGGGAAACCGGGGCGCTCGCTAGGGCGGAAGGGCTCGTGCCGGGTGGGGAAGCGCGCACAGGCGCCGCGGTCTGTCCTGCTGCGCAGCCGTCGCGGAGCCCCAGCCCGGCCCCCTGCCTCCTGCCCCCCTCACTCCTCTCGGCTCCCCCTCATCCCACTCTGCTCCATCCCTCTCTTTACCCGTCCTTCCCCGTTCAAACTCGATCCATTCACCCATCCGTCTCACGGTCCTTCCACCTGTCCATCGGGCCTTCCATCCAGCTCAGCCCATGTCCTCCCTTCCTCCCTCCCTCCGTCCGTCTGCCCTTCCGTTCTTGCACTGTTCCGTCCATCTCTAGGTCCATCTGCGCCCCCCTTCTCCCGTGCTCTCCTCCCACGTGTGCGGGATGCTTCTGCAGCGCTGCCTGTCCCTTGCGGGGGGCCGCAGGTGGACAACCATCCTCAGAAACTCATTTGTAAGTGGCAGTAGCCCCGAGGGGCGGGCATGTGCTCCACAGCTTACACGGCGGTCCCCTGAGTCAGGCTGCCGCCAAGGCCGACTGCACAGGGCTGGCTCGTGGGTCTGAAAGGGCTGGAAAGGCTTCACCCACACCCACACCCACACCCTCTGGGCACAGGTGGGTTGGGGAGAGAAAAACAAAATCTTAGCCAGCATATGCTGGGTGCCAGGAGGTAAGGTGTCTCTTAGTCCGCGTTACTCCGTTTTAGAGAAATGGGTTCGGAGAGATGCAAGGGGCCCAGAGTGCAGTGGGCAGGGCAGGGGGTCAGCCCTGGGTTTAAATCTGGGCTCTGCCAGGTCTCCCTCAGTTCCTTCATCTCTCACGTGGAACCGGCGTGTACTTCACAGCTGTGATGCTGCGAGGCTTGTGGCCAACAAGGTGAGACAGGATGGTGGTTATCATTGTACGAGCGGTTAGGATTCAAACTTGGGTTCTGTGCTTCAGCCACTGCACAAACCATGTCTCTGGCCCACCCGACCGTCCACGAAGAGCACCGCCCCCCTCTCCTGGCCGCAGGGCCAGGGGCCTCATTCCGCAGCCCGCTGCTGGTGGAGTCCTGCCAGGAAGCAGTTTATCACAGTTCTTTGGGTTGACTTGTGCCCCCCCCTTCCTGCGTGGACCTCCTAACCCCAGTGCCTCAGAAGGAGACCTGGACTGGAGAAAGAGCCATCACAGATGTAAAACCTAACAGGACACACGGGAGCAGGGCCCTGAGCAGTGCGACATGTCCTCTTGGAAAGGGGCCTGGACACGGGCATGCAGGGAGCACATCCTGGGAAGACTGCAGTGAGCCAGGGAGCTACTGGCAGCCAGGAGAGGCCCGCGCAGACCATGCTGCGCCTTTGGAGGGCGGAGGGTGGCAGCCCTGCCGGTACCTTGACCCCGAGCTGCCAGCCTCCAGAGCGGGAGGCACTGCATTTCGTTTCAATCACTGGGTTTGCAGTATTTTGTTTGACAGCTCTAGCCAAATAATCACCACCACAGGCATTTTCTGTGAGCAGAGGTGATGCGGAAGGGTGCTGTCCGAGACAGCGACACAGTGACACTCACTGTCAGGGCCTGTGGCCACTGCTGTCTGCCTGGGCCCACGGAGCCTGGCCAAAGCCAGGGCTTCCCAAGCCTTAGTAAACTGTGTTTTTTAACAATGTGATGAACTACATCAATGTAAGCACCACCCAAATCAAGATAAAGACCATTTCCAGCCTACCAGATGCTTCTGTGTGACCGTGGGCCCTCCCACAGGCAGGGTAATCGTTATTCCGACTTCTAGTGCCTGTTCTTCTTCTTAAAAAAAAAAGTTTTATTTTTAAGAGAGAGAGGAAGGGAGAGAGAGAGAGAGAGACATTGATGTGAGAGAGAAACATTGATCGGCTGCCTCCTGCATGCCCCCCACTGGGAATCAAACTGGGACCTCTCAGTCCATGGGATGATGCTCAGTCCTCTGAGCCACACCAGCCGAGCTGTGCTTCTTGTAAGTGGAATTACAGGGTATGTACTCTTTTATGTTGTTTCTATTGCTCAATATTATTCATGACATCGCTGCATCTTGGCCCCAGCTGGGTAACTCACCGTCTGGATACATCAAGGTTTTGGGTTCAGTCTCTGGTCAGGGCACATACAAGAATCAACCAATGAAGGTATAAGTGGAACAACAAATCAGTGTTTCTCTCTCTCAAATCAATAAAAGTAAAAAAGATCGATGTGTCTTATTGAATGCTGCAGTCGCCCCTTCTTCCCCAGTTGACACGTAGTATAGTGCTCCACTGTACCAATGCATCGCATGGACGGACACGTACCTCGTCTCCAGCATCTGGCTTCTGTGAACAGAGCTGCTGGAAAACACTCCTGAATACGTCTCTTGTCAACTGTGTGCACTCATTTCTCTCGGAGTGAAATTGCCGGCATATTTTTTTTTCTATTGTTTTTTATATTCTCATCCAAAGATATTTTTCCATTTTTGTTCAGATAGAGTGGGAGGGAGAGAGAAGAAGAAAGGGGGGGGCAGAGACATTGACTAGTGGCCTCTCAAATGACCCCAACCAGGGCCTGGGATGAACCACAACCAAGGTACAGTGCCCTTGAGCGGAATTGAACCCGTGAATCATTGGTCCGCAGTCCGACGCTCTTAACTGCTGAGCCAAACCGACCAGGGCTGCTGGCATACTTTTTACTTTAGTAGAAATCACCACACAGTCTTCCAAAGTAGTTAAACCAATTTACACCCCAGCAATGTATGAGAGTTCTGATTGCCCTGTACCTCAATATTGTGTCTTTTTATTTTAGCCATGATGCTGGGTGTGCAGTGGTTCTCATTGTGGTTTTAATTTGCATTTCACTGATGGGTAAGGTTGTTGAGCGCTTTTTCATATACCTATTGTCCATCTGTACCTGTTTGAGTCTTGTGCCCATTAAAAAAATTGGGATGGAGGACTTCCGGTCAGGATGGCAGGTAGGTAACCACAGTATCGTGTACTCCCACAACCACATCAAAGTTACAACTAAAGTACAGAACAGCCTACATTCAGAACCACCTGACATCGAGCTGAATGGAAGTCCTACAACTACAAGATTAAAGAAGCAGCTACATCAAGACTGGTAGGAGGGTGGAGGCGGACGGGCTGGTCCCACACCCACGTGTGGCAGATAAAAATCAGGAGGACACCTCAGCTGGGAAGGTCCTCCCTGAGGATTGAGGGGTTCCTGTCCCACACCAGGCCCCCAGCTTAGGGTTCCGGTGCCAGGAAGAGAATCCTCATAACTTCTGGATGGAAACACCAGCGGGAACTGAGGCTCAGGGAGGCTGAAGCAGCTGGAGCCCCAGGCAGCTCTTCTTAAAGGGCCCGCGCACGGACTTATCGCACTTGCTCCCTCTAAGCTCAGAGTAGAGGAAGCTTGAGGGGCACCAGAGACATACAAGGAAGAACTGGGCTGTTTGTCATTGGAGCGAGGGCTGGAGAGGGGGCTTTCTCCGGGACAAACGTGCTGTCAGAGACCTTTGTTCCTTTGGTGAGCCCTTCCCTGGCACCATATCTGGGACTCCAGCAACCTGGCTCACACTGGTAGCCCCGCCCTGGTGACTCCCTGAGGCCCCACCCCACCCCACCCCACCCAACTTTCAGGCCCACCCAAGCTGTTGCCAGTTGCTTTACCATAGGATTGGCCTGTCTTGGATCCTGCTTCAGGTTTTTCCTAAATTCTTTCAAACAAGCAGCATCTGGTCTCAGCGAGCCCCATACCTCTCGTTAAGTAATACACAGAAACAAACACAGGGAGGTAGCCAAAATGAGGAGACAAAGAAACAGGTCCCAAATGAAAGAACAGAACAAGACCCCAATAAAAGAACTAAGCGAAATAGAGATAAGCAACCTAACAGATGCTGAGTTCAAAATACTGCTTATAAGGATGTTCAATGAACTTAGTGAGGGCCTCAAGAGCATAAAAAAAGACCAGTCAGAAATGAAGGATGGCCCTGGCCAGTTTGGCTCAGCGGTTAGAGCGTCGGCCTGTGGTCCGGAGAGACCCGGGTTCGGTTCCCGCTAAGGGCACGTACTTCGGTTGCAGTTTGTCCCCGGCCCTGGTTGGTCGTGCGGGTGGCAGCCACTCGATGTGTCCCTTCACGTCGATGTTTCTCTCTCTCTCTCTCTCCCTTCCTCTCTCTCCCTCCACTCTATCTGTACAAAAAAATGGAAAAATATCCTCGGGTGAGGATTAAAAAAAAAAAAAAAAAAGAAATGAAGGATGCACAGTCAGAAATGAAGGAGGCACTAACTGAAATAAAGAATAATTTACACAGATTCAATAGTAGAGTAGGTAAAGCCAAGAAGCAAACCATCGATTTGGAATGTAAAGAAGCAAAAAACACCCAATCAGAACAGCAAAAAGAAAAAAGAATCCAAAAAAATGAGGATAGTGTAAGGAGCCTCTGGGACAACTTCAAGCGTGCCAACATTTGCATCTTGGGGGTGCCAGAAGGAGAAGAGAGAGAACAAGAAATCGAAAACCTGTGTGAAACAATAATGGCAGAACACTTCTCTAACTTGGTGAAGGTAACAGACATACAAGTCCAGGAAGCACAGAGAGTCCCAAACAAGATGAACCCCAAGAGGCCCACACCAAGACACATCATCATCAGAATGCAAAAGGTTCAAGACAAAGAGAGAATTTTAAAAGCAGCAAGAGAAAAGCAGTTAGTTACCTACAAGGGAGCTCCCATAAGACTGTCAGCTGATTTCTCAAAAGAAACTTTGCAGGCCAGAAGGGAGTGGCAAGAAATATTCAGAGTGATGAAAAGCAAGAATCTACAACCAAGATTTCTCTATCCTGGAAAGCTGTCATTTAGAATCGATGGACATATAAAGACTTTCCCAGACAAGGAAAAGCTAAAGGAGTTCATCACCACCAAACCATTATTATATGAAATGTTGAAGGGTCTTCTTGAAGAAAAAGATAAAAAATATGAACAAAGAAAATGGCAATGAATACAAATCTATTGACAATTGAATCTACAAACAAAATGAACAAGCAGAATAGAAACATTCTCATAGATACAGAGAACATTTTGTTGGTTGCCAGATGGAAGGGGGCTGGGGGAATGGGTGAAAAAGGTGAAGGGATTAAGAAGTATAAATTGGTTGCTAGACTGACAAACCTCAAAGCGAAGTGGGGTTGGGGGGAGGGAAGAAATAAACCAGAGAACTTATATGCATAACCAATGGACACAGACAATAGTGTGGGAAAAGGCAGGAGGGGGGCGGGAGTGGGGAGGAGGGGTCAATGGGGGAAAAATGAGGAACATCTGTAATACATTCAACAATAAAGATAGGTTTTAAAAAAAATCGGATGTTTATTTTTTTATTGATTTGGGGTTCTTCATATATTCTGGATGAATCTTTTAAAAAGTTTTATCTGAACAAAAATTTAAACACATACATGTACCAATGATCACTTGAATTCAAAAGTAACTTTGATCTTATTCATTAAATAAAAGCAATTTTTTCCGGTCTTAGAAAATGACCCAGACCACATAATACGTGACACGTCCACTGCATATGAACGTGGTGGGACTGGCCCGGCAGTACACGCCTGGTTGTCACGTGCTTGTGTAGAAAGCACTGTCTCTGGACTGGGCTCCAAAGCCGACTGGTTTGGTCTGGTTGAGCCAGGAAGGGGGTGGCTACGGCTCAGGTTTCTTCTTCCTCCTGGATGGGCTGCCGGTGCATCTGCATACCTTGTGGGCCAGGGGTGGGAAGCGCAGAGCAAGGGGACAGGATCTGGCTTCTGGTTTCCAGAGCTGGGCTCCCACCACCACGCTGCATGCTCAACGTTTATTATACGTCTACCATGTGGCAGGGTGTGGGGGCCGGAGAGATGGCTGGACACCAGCCTCAGGCCGAGAGCGCTCACGGTCAAGGAGAAGAGCTGACAAGGGAGCAAAAAGCATGACGTGCTGCTAAGTGCAGGATGTGGTGTCACCTTCGTGGAGAGGGACGTTTGAGCGGGATGCTGCGGGAGGAGCCGGAGGTTCCCAGCGTGATGGGTCCCAGGGACGTCTTCAGAGTGAGCTGATGCCACCTGAGCTGTGCTGTGATGGGTGGGCAGGAGTCACCAGAGAGAGGGTGGCGAGAAGGACATCCCAGGCAGGGAGCTTGGGGCAGGGCTTCCCGGTGAGTGAACATCTTAATCTCGCTCACTGGGACCAGGGCAAGAACGTGAGGGTAGATCTCAGGATGGCAGACCCTTCCCCACCCAGCGCCCAGGGAGCCCCGGTGCCAGGATGGTGTTCCCGGTGAGGGTCACAGCTCGTCAGGGCACCTCACCCGCAGGGTCACTATGTGCTCAGGGGTGGTTCTTTGTAGGACGACCTTTCTGTTTAGAGGAATCATTATTTTTTACCCCTTCCCATAGTTACTACTGTTCACAAAACAGGGCCTGCTCCCTGGCCTTGGCGGGCACTCAAAGGTGTGGAGTCCACCCCCTTACCTGAGAAGACTTCTCTACAAAACAATGACCTCTGGTTCTGTATCGTGTTTCTTCTGGAGTTGGGCCCTAGTGGACAGGAATGGAGGGAGATGGCCCCCCGTGCTCAGATTTCTGGGCCCGGTGGAGAAAAGAGGCAGCAGTTCTGAGAACAAGGCTGCCTGGACCAGTGCAGCAGGGGGGAGCCACATGGCCGGCCGGGGCTGCCAGGAGGGCCCACCTGACTGACCGGGCCTGCCGGAGGAAGCTGCTGGCTGTGGTGATCTCCTGGGCCAGTCTCTTCAAATCATCTCCTTCGAATGGTGGCAACACAGAGTCCTTGGAAAGGGGAAAGAGTGTTAGGTTTGACCCATTAAGTGACTAGATGAGACCTGAAGATCCAAAATACCAGAGGAGTTTTAGAACTAATTAAATGCAGCCCCCCACCCAGTACAGGAAATCTTGTGGGCCTCAACGTACATGTTTCCAGGGACAGGAAGCTCACTACCTGATAAGGGAGTCATTCTGCGAACAGGACACTTTGGAAGATGTCTAAGAGTCAGTGCAGGGAGGGGTAGTAGGAAGCAGGATGGTCTCTGGGCCTCACTGAAGTGAGCAGAACAGAAGCGGCACATGCTCCTTGTCTCACTGTTACTCAGTAACATCTCCTCGGCCCTTTCTCTGCTTCTAGTAAAACAGCTCCGCAGACTTGCTTCTTTCTTCTGTCAGCCAATGAAATCCCTGGGCCTAGCCTTAAGAGGGCAGTTCTCACAGTCAGAATCTGAGAGATGCCCCGTCCTCCCTGGCAGCCGTGGGACGACCCCAGCCCACAGCCACAGGCCAGGCTGTCGGGTTCAGAAGGCGCTGAACTGGGAACCTTCGCGACACTGTCAGGTTCCTCTTCCTGCGTGATGAGGACAGTCGTCACTGTCACTCCTTCTGTCCTCTGTATTACTCGCAATGTTTGGCCCTAAAACAGTTACTTGAGCAAAGAAACCATGCAAAGCACTTGATTTAAAAAATTATGCTACATCCTGGGTGGTAATCTTTTTTTTTTTAATTTATTTTTGTTACAGATGTTGCTCCTTTTTCCCCATTGACACCCTCCTCCCTGCTCCGCCTCCCCCCTCAGCATTGTTGTCTGTGGTTATGAATATGTGCATATAAATTCTTTGGTTTATCTCTTCCCTCCCCCCTCTCCTTTGAGGTTTGTCCGTCTGATCCCTACTTCTGTCTCTGGGCTGAGTGGTAATCTATTTTTTTTTAATTGATTTTAGAGAGAGAAAGGGAGAGGGACAGAGAGAGAAACATCAATTCGGTACACAGGACTACACTCCAACCAAAAGAGCCACACCGGCCAGGGCCTGGGACAGTAATCTTTAACCTCCAAAAAGAAATCTGGACTTCTGGTTGGTTGTGTTACTGGATACCCTGTTGCCCTGGAAATGTTATAATTGACAGTGGAACATTCTGAAAGGTAGAAATACGCACATAATTTTTCTGTGAGGTCGGAATAGGATCATTAATGCTTTCCTCTTGTCCCACAAGCATCAAGGAACCCATGACTTGCCTAGATTTACTACTTAACGGACCATTTGAATATCTCTTTCAGTGAATTTAACACAGGGAGACAGAAATATGCAGGATTAAAGTGCAGGGCTTAGGCTTCCGGTCAGGATGGCGGGTAGGTAACTGCGGTATCACCTCCTCCCACAACCACATCAAAGTTACAACTAAACTACAGAACAACCATCCATCAGAACCTCCTGACACAGAGCTGAATGGAAGTCCTACAACTACAAGATTAAAGAAGCCACATGGAGACTGGTAGGAGGGGAGGAGGCGGACGGGCTGGTCCCATACCCATGGGTGGTGGATAAAAATCAGGAGGACACCTCGGTTGGGAAGGTCCTCCCTGAGGACTGAGGGGTCCCCTCCCACACCAGGTGCCCAGCTCAGGGTTCCAGTGCCAGGAAGAGAATCCCCATAACTTCTGGTTGGAAAACCAGCGGAAACTGAGGCTGAGGGAGGCTGAGGCTACTAGAGTCCCAGGCAGCTCCACTTAAAGGGCTCATGTTGGGGAGGCAGCTTGAAAGGCACCAGAGACATACAGGCAAGAACTGAGTTGTTTGGCATCAGGGCAAGAGCTGGAGAGGCAGCTTTTTCCTGGACAGATGTGCTGGCAGAGGCTGTTGTTCCTCTGGTGAGCCCTTCCCCCATGGGGCAGGCAGATTGGGAGACACATCTGGGACTCCAGCAACACTGCCCCACCCAGGTGACTCCCTGAGGCCCTACCCCACCCACGCTGTTGCCAGTTGCTTTACCATAGGATTGGCCTGTCTTGGATCCTGCTTCAGAGTTTCCTAAATTCTCTCAAACAAGCAGCATCTGGCCATAGCAAACCCCATACCTCTGGCTAAGTAGCCTCAGGCTGGCACTAGAATCAGCTAGCCTTGGTTCACAGCTTGGCCTCTCCTGGACACCCCCAAGCCCAGCACAAGAAGCAGCCATCGACAGATCACTTTGTAGCTTACACCGGTGGCCCGAAGTAGAACACAGGTAGTGGCTGACCTTGCCCCAGAGCCAGCACACCCAGTGGACAGCTTCAGACCACAGTGAAGCACCACCACCCAACAACCTCCACAAGCGACACACTCAAGGAGTGGACTCAGTGGGTTCCAGAGCCCTGCTGAAGTAAGTCTTGCTCTGTGTGGTGGGCCCTGCACAGCTGATCCTCCAAGGTAGTCAGAGGCCAGTGGTCAGTGGGTACAGCCAGTCCTTGCAGCTGATCAGCCTGAATAAATCCCTCCCATTGATGTGCCAACAGCAATCAAGACTCAGTTACGACTTCGGGTCAAGATGGCGGGTAGGTAAACGCGGTATCGTCCTCCCACAACCACATCAAAGTTACAACTAAACTACAGAACAACCATCATTCAAAACCGCCTGAAATCCAGATGAATGGCAGTCCTACAACTACGGAATTAAAGCAGCAGCCACATCGAGACTGGTAGGAGAGCGGAGGGGACGGGCTGGTCCCACACCCACGTGTGGCGGATAAAAATCAGGAGGACACCTCGGCTGGGAAGGTCCTTCCTGAGGACTGAGGGGTCCCCGTCCCACACCAGGTGCCCCGCTCAGGGTTCCAGTGCCAGGAAGAGAATCCCCATCACTTCTGGCTGGAAAAACCAGCGGGAACTGAGGCTCAGGGAGGCTGAGGCGGCTGGAGCCCCAGGCAGCTCCTTAAAGGGCCCGGCACAGACTTATCGGACTCTCTCCCTCTAAGCTCGGAGGGGAGGCAGCTCGAGGGGCGCCAGAGACATACAGGGAAGAACTGAGCTGTTTGGCACTGGAGCGAGGGCTGGAGAGGGGGCTTTCTCCAGGACAAACGTGCTGTCAGAGGCCTTTGTTCCTTTGGTGAGCCCTTCCCTGGGGCGGCAGACAGAAGCCATATCTGGGACTCCAGCAACCTGGCTCACACTGGTTGCCCCGCCCTGGTGATTCCCTGAGGCCCCGCCCCACCCAACTTTCAGGCCCACCCAAGCTGTTGCCACTTTCTTAACCGTAGGAATGATCTGTCTTGGTTCTTGCTTCAGGTTTTCCTAAATTCTTTCAAACAAGCAGCATCTGGTCTCAGTTAGCCCCACACTGCACGTTAAGTAATACACAGAAACAAACACAGGGAGGCAGCCAAAATGAGGAGACAAAGACACAGGTCCCAAATGAAAGAACAAAACAAAACCCCAAGAAAAGAACTAAGCGAAATGGAGATAAGCAACCTAACAGATGCTGAGTTCAAAATACTGTTTATAAGGATGCTCAGTGAACTTAGTGAGAACCTCAGTGAACTTAGTGAGGGCCTCAAGAGCATAAAAAAGGACCAGTCAGAAATGATGGATGTACAGTCAGAAATGAAGGAGGCATTAACTGAAATAAAGAAAAATTTACACAGATTCAATAATAGAGTAGGTAAAGCCAAGAAGCAAATCATCGATTTGGAATGTAAGGAAGCAAAAAACACCTAATCAGAACAGCAAAAAGAAAAAAGAATCCAAAAAAATGAGGATAGTGTAAGGAGCCTCTGGGACAACTTCAAGCGTGCCAACATTTGCATCTTGGGGGTGCCAGAAGGAGAAGAGAGAGAACAAGAAATTGAAAACCTGTCTGAAACAATAATGGCAGCCCTGGCCAGTCTGGCTCAGCGGTTAGAGCGTCGGCCTGCAGTCCGGAGAGACCTGAGTTCGGTTCCCGCTAAGGGCACGTACTTTGGTTGCAGTTTGGCCCCGGCCCTGGTTGGTCGTGCGGGTGGCAGCCACTTGATGTGTCCCTTCACGTCGATGTTTCTCTCTCTCTCTCCCTTCCTCTCTCTCCCTCCCACTCTATCTGTACAAAAAAATGGAAAAATATCCTCGGGTGAGGATTAAAAAAAAAAAAAAAAAGAGAAACAATAATGGCAGAACACTTCCCTAACTTGGTGAAGGAAACAGACATACAAGTCTAGGAAGCACAGAGAGTCCCAAATAAGATGAACCCCAAGAGGCCCACACCAAGACACATCATCATCAAAATGCAAAAGGTTCAAGACAAAGAGAGAATCTTAAAAGCAGCAAGAGAAAGGCAGCTAGTTACCTACAAGGGAGTTCCCATTAGGCTGTCAGCTGATTTCTCAAAAGAAATTTTGCAGGCTAGAAGGGCGTGGCAAGAAATATTCAGAGTGATGAAAAGCAAGAACCTACAACCAAGATTACTCTATCCTGCAAAGCTGTCATTTAGAATCGATGGCCATATAAAGACTTTCCCAGACAGGAAAAAGTTAAAGGAGTTCATCACCACCAAACCATTATTATATGAAATGATGAAGGGTCTTTTTGAAGAAAAAGATAAAAAATATGAACAAACAAAATGGCAATGAATACATATCTATCAACAATGGAATCTACAAATAAAATGAACAGGTAGAACAGTAACATTCTCATAGATACAGAGAACATTTGTTGGTTGCTAGATGGGAGAGGGGTTGGGGGAATGGGTGAAGAAGGTGAAGGGATTAAGAAGTACAAATTCATTGCTAGACTGACAAACCTCAAAGGGAAAGGGGTTAGGGTCAGGGGTGGGAAGAAATAAACCAATGGACACAGACAATAGTGTGTGAAAAGGTGGGGGAGGGCGGGAGTGGGGCGGAGGGGGTCAATGAGGGAAAAATGAGGAACATCTGTGATACATTTTATATTCAACAATAAATATTTAAAAAAAAAAAGACTCAGTTACAACAGAAGCGTGTAAAGTCCACATGGAGGGGTGCTTCTCGAGGGCCCAGCTGGGAGACCAGGGAGGCTGTGCCACTGGACCTACAGGACACCTACAAGAACAGGCCACCCTAGGAAGCCCAGGAGGCATAGCAACTCTACCTGATACATAGAAATAAACACAGGGAGGCAGCCAAAATGAGGAGACAAAGAAACATGCCTCAAATGAAAGAACACAACTAAACGCCAGGAAAAAAAAACTAAAAATGGAGATAAGCAATCTAATGTTGCAGAGTTCAGAACACTGCTTATAAGGACACTCAAGAAACTTAATGAGAGCCCCAAGAGTATAAAAAAGGATGAGTCAGAAATGAAAGATGCTGCCCAGCTGGTGTGGCTCAGTGGTTGAGCGTCGGACCCATGCACCAAGAGGTCACTGGTTTGATTCTAAATGGTCAGGGCACATGCCCAGGTTATGGGACCAATCCCTAGTGGAGGGCATGCCCAAGGCAGCCAATCGATGTTCTCTCTCATTGATGTTTCTATCTCTCTCTCCCTCTCCCTTCCTTTCTCTCTAAAATCAATAAAGAATAAAAATTTTAAAAAAGCCCTGGCCAGTTTCGCTCAGCAGTTAGAGCATCGGCCTGCAGTCCAGAGAGACCTGGGTTCGGTTCCCGCTAAGGGCATGTACCTTGGTTGCGGTTTGTCCCCGGCCCTGGTTGGGTCGTGCGGGTGGCAGCCACTTGATGTGTACCTTTCGCATCGATGTTTCTCTCTCTCTCTCCCTCCCACTCTATCTGAACAAAAAATGAAAAAAAAGTCCTCCGGTGAGGATAAAAAAAAAAAGGATGCACTAACTGAAATAAAGAATAATTTACAGGGAATCAATAGTAGAGTAGATGAAGCCAAGAAGCAAACCATCGATTTGGAATATGAGGAAGAAAAAATACCCAATCAGAACAGCAAAAAGAAAAAAGAATAAAAAAAAAATGAGGATAGTGTAAGGAGCCTGTGCGACAATTTCGAGTATATCAACATTTGCATCATGGGGGTGCCAGAAGGAGGAGAGAGAGCAAGAAATTGAAAACATATTTGAAAAGATAATGATAGGAAACTTCCCTAATTTGGTGAAGGAAACAGACATATAAGGCCAGGAAGCACAGAGAGTCCTAAACAAGATGAATCCAAAAAGGCCAACACCAAGACATATCATCATCAAAATGTAAAAGGTTAAAGAAAAAGAGAAAATCTTAAAAGCAGCCAGACAAAAGCAGTTAGTTACCTACAAGGGAGTTCCCATAAAGTTGTCAGCTGATTTCTCAAAAGAAACTTTGCAGGCCAGAAGGGAGTGATAAGAAATATTTAAAGTGATTGAAAGCAAGGACCTACAACCAAGATTACTCTATCCTGCAAAGCTGTCATTTAGAATCGATGGCCATATAAAGAGTTTCCCAGACAAGAAAAAGCTAAAGGAGTTCATCACCACCAAACCAGTATTATTTGAAATGTTTATGGGTCTTCTTGAAGAGGAAAATAAAAAAAATATGAACAATAAAATGGCAATAAATACGTATCTATCAACAATTGAATGTGCAAACAAAATGAGCAAGCAGAACAGAAACAGACTCATAGATACAGAGAACTTTTTGTTGGTTGCCAGATGGGAGGGGGGAGGATGGGCTTAAAGGTGAAGGAATTAAGAAGTACAAATTGGCTGATGGACTGAGGAACCTCAAAGGGAAGGAGGAGGGGGGAGGTGGGGCAGGAAGAGCTAAACCAAAGAACTTCTATGCATATGTGCATAACCAATGGACACCAATAATAGTGTGGGGAAGGCAGGAGGGGGTGGCAGTGGGGAGGAAAGGGTCAAGGGTGGGGGGAAGGAGGGATATCTGTAATACATTCAAAAATAAAGATAAGTTTAAAAATAAATAATAAAAAAGAAAAGCGCCCAGCTGAGGAGTATGGGTGTCTGAGCTCCAGGTTCCCATCATTCTGACTTCAGGTGTGTCCGGAGCCTGGCTAAGCCCGTTTCTTCACCTGTTCACGGGGCAGAAGACGGTGGGGAGGATCAAAGAGGCCATCTGTGTAAAGCAGCGAACCTGCACCTAGTAAGTGCTCAACAATGCAAACGTTTATCTTTGAATACCCGGAACTCTGCTTCCCCCACCTTGGGAGCGCCAGCCTAGGACAGCACTGGGAGGCCTTGCAGTCAGTGCCCGACAAGAGAAGCAGGGGTCTTTTCAGTTAGTCTCGACCATGTGTGTGTACCTCTTACGAGCGTTTCAGGAGCTGCACACCTACCCTCTCATCCAGGAAGCCCTTGAGCAGGCGGTGAATCTGGAAGAGCAGGTCGTCACCCACCTGGCAGTGATAGCGCCCCCCTGTGAGGGAGGCCAGCTGTCTCAGGAAGTCAGCCTCTGCCCTGCGGGAGGAAGGGAGAGGGCTGGGGCCAGGACCACTGACCCACCAGGCCCGGTCCCTGGAGCCCCCAGCGTGGGAGACTCATGCGGAGCCTGTGGGTCAGTGGGCCTCGGACCCGAGGCTCTGTGCCATCTGGCCATGCCGGCACCAAGCCCACTCTCCCAGCCAGTCTGGGCGGTGGCAGCAGCTATGCCCGGTGAAGCAGGTTCACGTGACAGTGTCACCACGTAGACTGGACTCCTCGGAGCGCAGGGCAGCATTCTCCAGCCCTCCCCTAACTGCACACCCATCCAGTGCGCACTGCGAGTCAGGGCTGCCAGCAGCACAGCGGGACCGCTATGGAGCTCATGGTTTAGACACAGAGATAAAATATGCACCTAAGTAATCACACATTAAAGAACCACACTGTTTGCCAATAATATTAACGTTTTCTTCTGAAGTACTTAAATCTCTCTTGTTTAACACATGCTTTCATGATCACGTATAAAAATAACCACAACAATGCTACTCTCAACTTTCTCCCCTAAACACTCCTAAACGTGCTCCCAGGAGGTGGGGGAAGTGCACCTTGTGACTGTGGAATCTGGGCAAGTCGCCCCGTCTGGCTGTCAGGAGCACCCGCTGTGGGCAAGGTCAAGGTGCAGAGAGGCCTTCACCCTGCACTCTGCCCAGGACCTCCTGATTTCTGGGTCTGACTGGTGCCCCTGGACTGGCGAGTTGCCCAGCCGACCCGTGCCCACCTGCCTGTGCAGCCCAGGGAAATGGTGTGTACTCTCACGTCGCAGGCCCCCTTGAGTCTTTGCACTTCACTCAGAACAAGGCTGCAGCTGGTGTCTGGCTTCCCGTCAGTGAGGAGGTACAGCCCTTCCACGCCGTGGAAGCTGAAAGCTTTCTGGAAGAGCATGTAGGTGGTCTGACTCAGGGGCGGTCTCAGCAGGAAGGGGAAACACGAACGGCCTGCTGTTCCCAAGGAAAATGTCTGACTAGCCCCCAGAGACCTGTCTGTTAACTGAGAGGCCCCCTTCCAGCCCACCACTGACAACAAAGCTCCCGAGACTCAGGAGAAGGAGCCCAGTTCACCTCCTGGCTGGTCAACCCCAGGCAGGTCACTAAATCTCTCTGAGCCTCTCGTCTTCTGTGACATGAGAGCAGCAGTCACCCCTTTCCCGAGTGGTTGGGAAGACACAGAGACCTGACACAGCGAACTCTGGCGTCTGCAGTGTCCGCGTACGGGACCTGACACAGCGAACTCTGGCGTCTGCAGTGTCCGCGTACGGGATCTGACACAGCGAACTCTGGCGTCTGCAGTGTCCGCGTACGGGATCTGACACAGCGAACTCTGGCGTCTGCAGTGTCCGCGTACGGGACCTGACACAGCCAACTCTGGCGTCTGCAGTGTCCGCGTACGGGACCTGACACAGCGAACTCTGGCGTCTGCAGTGTCCGCGTACGGGACCTGACACAGCCAACTCTGGCGTCTGCAGTGTCCGCGTACGGGACCTGACACAGCGAACTCTGGCGTCTGCAGTGTCCGCGTACGGGACCTGACACAGCGAACTCTGGCGTCTGCAGTGTCCGCGTACGGGACCTGACACAGCGAACTCTGGCGTCTGCAGTGTCCGCGTACGGGACCTGACACAGCGAACTCTGGCGTCTGCAGTGTCCGCGTACGGGACCTGACACAGCCAACTCTGGCGTCTGCAGTGTCCGCGTACGGGACCTGACACAGCGAACTCTAAGGAGTCTGCAGTGTCCGCGTACGGGACCTGACACAGCGAACTCTGGCGTCTGCAGTGTCCGCGTACGGGACCTGACACAGCCAACTCTGGCGTCTGCAGTGTCCGCGTACGGGACCTGACACAGCCAACTCTGGCGTCTGCAGTGTCCGCGTACGGGACCTGACACAGCCAACTCTGGCGTCTGCAGTGTCCGCGTACGGGACCTGACACAGCGAACTCTAAGGAGTCTGCAGTGTCCGCGTACGGGACCTGACACAGCGAACTCTAAGGAGTCTGCAGTGTCTGCGTACGGGACCTGACACAGTGAACTCTGGCGTCTGCAGTGTCCGCGTACGGGACCTGACACAGCGAACTCTAAGGCGTCTGCAGTGTCCGCGTACGGGACCTGACACAGCGAACTCTGGCGTCTGCAGTGTCCGCGTACGGGACCTGACACAGCCAACTCTGGCGTCTGCAGTGTCCGCGTACGGGACCTGACACAGCCAACTCTGGCGTCTGCAGTGTCCACGTACGGGACCTGACACAGCCAACTCTGGCGTCTGCAGTGTCCGCGTACGGGACCTGACACAGCGAACTCTAAGGTGTCTGCAGTGTCCGCGTACGGGACCTGACACAGCGAACTCTAAGGTGTCTGCAGTGTCCGCGTACGGGACCTGACACAGTGAACTCTGGCGTCTGCAGTGTCCGCGTACGGGACCTGACACAGCGAACTCTAAGGTGTCTGCAGTGTCCGCGTACGGGACCTGACACAGTGAACTCTGGCGTCTGCAGTGTCCGCGTACGGGACCTGACACAGTGAACTCTGGCGTCTGCAGTGTCCGCGTACGGGACCTGACACAGTGAACTCTGGCGTCTGCAGTGTCCGCGTACGGGACCTGACACAGTGAACTCTGGCGTCTGCAGTGTCTGCGTACGGGACCTGACACAGCCAACTCTGGCATCTGCAGTGTCCGCGTACGGGACCTGACACAGTGAACTCTGGCGTCTGCAGTGTCTGCGTACGGGACCTGACACAGCCAACTCTGGCGTCTGCAGTGTCCGCGTACGGGACCTGACACAGTGAACTCTGGCGTCTGCAGTGTCCGCGTACGGGACCTGACACAGCGAACTCTGGCGTCTGCAGTGTCCGCGTACGGGACCTGACACAGCGAACTCTGGCATCTGCAGTGTCCGCGTACGGGACCTGACACAGCGAACTCTGGCGTCTGCAGTGTCCGCGTACGGGACCTGACACAGCGAACTCTGGCGTCTGCAGTGTCCGCGTACGGGACCTGACACAGCGAACTCTGGCGTCTGCAGTGTCCGCGTACGGGACCTGACACAGCGAACTCTGGCGTCTGCAGTGTCCGCGTACGGGACCTGACACAGCGAACTCTGGCGTCTGCAGTGTCCGCGTACGGGACCTGACACAGCGAACTCTGGCGTCTGCAGTGTCCGCGTACGGGACCTGACACAGCGAACTCTGGCGTCTGCAGTGTCCGCGTACGGGACCTGACACAGTGAACTCTGGCGTCTGCAGTGTCCGCGTACGGGACCTGACACAGCGAACTCTGGCGTCTGCAGTGTCCGCGTACGGGACCTGACACAGCGAACTCTGGCGTCTGCAGTGTCCGCGTACGGGACCTGACACAGCGAACTCTGGCATCTGCAGTGTCCGCGTACGGGACCTGACACAGCGAACTCTGGCGTGTGCAGTGTCCACGTACGGGACCTGACACAGCGAACTCTGGCGTCTGCAGTGTCTGCGTACGGGATCTGACACAGTGAAGTCTAAGGCGTCTGCAGTGTCTGTGTACAAAGTGATGCCATTTATTCTTGCCACCAGGTCAGGCTCAGGGCCGGAACTTGCCAGTAACGCCTGCAAGACGGAGGTGCTGCCCTGAGCGTGCAGGTGGGTCACCCACTGCGTGGCCTCGCGACAGGCTGTGTCTGTGGTCTCCACCAGGGTGTCCTGCCACAGCTGTAGGTGCTCTGAAAAGCTGACCAGGTTAAAGCTGGGGAGGGGAAGAAAGATTGGTCAGAACATGCCAGTCTATATTGAGTTTTGGTGAAGTGACCTCCGACAGACTGTACATGCCTGTCAGGGCACCCCAGGAGAGGGCTGTGGACTCCCGAGAACAGAGAGACACAGTCAAGTTTCTGGGTGCAGACTGAGGTCAATTTATGTTCCCTTAGCCTCTCGCAGGGTGTGTGATCTCCGACAAATGGCTTAACCTGAGTTGTCACTTTCTTTTCTGAAAAAATGGGGATAAGAATACTGCCTCAGGTCACTGTGAGGATCGCGTGGAACCAGGCATGGGGGTACTTAGTAAATACTCAAGAATGAGTCCCAGCCCGGGACCAGGCTCCTGCTGTCCCCTCAGGGTCGGACCTTCTGAGTAGAGGGAACAACCAACCGCTGCCTCCGTCCCTTAAAAACCAAGTTCAGCTCAAGTGCACCCTTCAGGGTGGTCCCTTCCCTCTGCCGGCACTCGCCCGGGGCCGCGCAGGACTTCTGAAACCCACGTTGCTCCCACAGATACACTGTTCATCAGAGCATTTCAGAAACGTCCTGGCCCTACGGCACAGGGAGGGGGGTGTCCTTGGCCAGGGGCCCCGCATTCCTGCCCCTCACCTGTGGCAGTGCTTCCTCAGCTGCTCCCAGATGAGCAGCACCAGCTCTGTCTGCACCTGCTGCAGGTGGGGGCCCATGGACCCCGAGGTGTCCAGCAGGATGCAGACCCGCTTCTCCAGAATGGTACCGAACAGCCGGCGGCTCCCTGCTCCGGGTGGTGGGAGGGCAGGGAAGGCGTGAGGGTCCCCCTCCTGGCTGCTTTCCCTCACTGTAGCTGCCACATTCATGGTTTTGCAATGACCCATTGCCTGACTGACCACTGATCAGATACCAGCCCCTGAGGGGTGGCCTTTGTGGTGTTGGAGGGGCCGGCTGTCCTAGGGCAGGGCCGGCCGGTGGTCTGGGCTTTGGGAGATGGAGATCTCAGCTGGGGCTCTGCCTGTGATCACTTGCTCAGTGGTTACAACTGCCCTGGCTTGAGCTTCCTCATCCCTCTAGTTCCGTGACTGGACTGAGCAGCGGCCCAGTATTGATTGGGGCTGGAAAAGATGTCCCAGAGCACAGAGTCCACCAACGGACCCGCAGGAATAGCTGAGCCTGGTGAGCAGGGCCTGCCCTCGGGGCCTGCAGCCGGCCGGCCAGGGGCGTGACACGTGCTGTGCCAAGGCTTCTGCAGTGTGGGTGAAGCACGGAACAGGAGGGTCGGAGCTGGAGGGATGCGGGTGGGCGGCCACGCTACAACTGAAGGGGGGTGCTGAGGATCACAGCCTGTCTGACGTGTGGAACGGCAGAGGCCCACGGAGAGAGGAACAGGAGAGAAAGCTGGAGAGGTTGTTGCTGGATTGGGGATCTATTGGGGTAACACAGAGGGCCAGTGACTTGCCCAGGGTCACCCAGACTGGCAGTGACCACTGAGACTCACACCCAAGCTCTCTGATCTATGCTTTAAGGTGATTGTTAACCGCCACCTCCGCAGGGGCTAGGGAGAGGGGCAGTCATCCCACATGCCCTGCCCGTGGGCTGTGAACACCAGGGTCTACCGCAGAGGCCTGGGCCGCTGGCCGTACACAGGTCCGTGTGGCCCACACAGGCTCTCTGTACATGGCTCCTGCCTCCTTCTCTCCCGCCCCAGGAACCCACCATGCCCCGGAGCCCAGCTCCCTCCCATCAGTTCTGGCCTCTGCCTGGCCCCTGGGCTTGATGCTCAGACCACTGCTAACCCCCAGCACACCGTCTTCTGCGATGTGAGCCTGGCCCTCAGCCAACGCCATCCATTCCCCTCTCCCAGGGGCCCGGTGCTCTTCCCTGTCGGGACCCCTCCCATCGCCTCCATGGGAAGTCCTACGGGGCCCATTGAGCCTGGGCCAGTGTGGCTCTGTCGGCTGGAGCACTGTTGCGTACACCCAAGGGTGGCTGGTTTGATCCCCGGTTGGGGTGCATGTGAGAAGCAGCTGGTAGATTTTTCTCTATGTCATCAATGTTTCTCTCTCTATCCCTCTCTCTCTAAAAAAAAAAAAAAGTCAAATATATATATTTCATCTCCTTAAAAAAAAAAAGACAGCCCTGGCCGGTTTGGCTCAGTGGTTAGAGCGTCGGCCTGCGGTCCAGAGAGACCCGGGTTCGGTTCCCGCTAAGGGCACGTACCTCGGTTGCAGTTTGTCCCCGGCCCTGGTTGGTCGAGTGGGTGGCAGCCACTCAATGTGTCCCTTTCACGTCGATGTTTCTCTCTCTCTCTCTCTCTCTTCCTCTTTCTCCCTCCCACTCTATCTGAACAAAAAAAATGGAAAAATGTCCTCCGGTGAGGATTAAAAAAAAAAAAAAAAGACAAAATTGAGCTTGGGTCCTCTCTGGTGCTCTTTGGCCCCTGGTCCACCTCCCTGTCATCCAGTGCCTTGCCTGACCTCTGAACCCAGGAGTCATGCTGTACCAGATGACCCTCCTGGACTAATTCCCCACCTAACAGTTTGTGAGTGTCCAGCCTGGGCAGGACTGACCCTGGAGTCCCTGAGGTTGAGTTTCCTGTCCCACTAGGCCCCCCCCGCCCTCCAGGGCCGCAGGCAGGCTCACCAGTCCCCCTTGGGTCCCCCCCCCCCGCCCTCCAGGGCTGCAGGCAGGCTCACCAGTCCCCCTCGGGTCCCCCCCCCCCCGCCCTCCAGGGCCGCAGGCAGGCTCACCAGAGAGCAGCCACTGCAGCCTCTGGACGTAACGTCTCAGCACCTTCTCCAGGCCCGTGATGTACGCATCCACCTCCTTGGGTGTCCACTGAACGTGTCTCACCACCCCCTGGGTTAACGAGAGCCCCGCAGATGCCCATCACCGGTCTTCACATCGCCACCTTCTCAACTACTTTGTCCGCTGGCTCACAAGTCCCCCACAATGGGGGGCACATGCTTTTGTTTGTTCTGAAGCTCTTTTATTGCATTACTAGACATTCTAGGGTGGAATGGGGAACTGGGATGATGGTTTGTTGTTGGGAGCCAGCTACTGTCTGACAGAGTCCACAGAGCCTGGGGGTCTTGAGTCAGAGACTCGACCTTCCCCACCATCTCAAGGAATTGGGCTTGCATTGTGTTTGTGCAGCTCGGGGCTAAGTGTACCCAGTGTACCTTGAAATGCCTGAGATAACAGACTGGGTGTTCCTGTTACCCGCAAGGCAAACTAATTCTATACAGCATTGTTGTAGCCTGGGCACTACATTGAGAAGATCCTATCTTCTTTTATCATTAAACTTCTGCTGTGAGGCATAAAAGGCATGTAATGAAGCACATCGAGGCTGATCCTGCTGAGGACAGTCCTCCTGACCCCACATCCGTGTCGCTGTCTTCATTCCCACCGCTGGACTCAGGGACTCTGCGCTCCTGGCTGGTTCCTGGCAGTTCTGTGGCCAATGTGGTCACTGCACTGATACATACAGTGTCTCTACATTTTAAAACAGAAAACCCTCACGGGAGGATGGGAGGTCCATGGATTTCACACCAGAAGGTGACCCTGGGTGGAGGGGCAGCATGGTCACACTCCCTCACATTTTCTGGTGGATAATTCTGAGTTCAGCAGCTTTCGGCTTTAGTTTCATCTCATGTGGATAACGTATAAAAGGGCAAGGAGAGAAAACGGGGTCTTTAAACAAGCACAGTTAGATTTTCATGTGCACTACTGGGCACGTTCCTGTCAGTGCAATGAGCAAACAGCCCCAAGGTAGAAACCAGAGAGAGCCCCTCGCCCCGTGATGCACCCTGTGCACCCTCCCAGCTCCGTCGTCAGCACCGGTGACAGCCTGTGGGCGGGACCAGCAGCTGCTGCCCTGTGCTCTCAGCCTGTCTCCACCTCTCACCCAGGGAGCCCCTCGAATGAGGCGGGGCTTCCTCTCCTTGCAGCAGGATTCTGCTTGTCCTGTGCCCCAAGAACAGCCCCCCTGGCAGGAAGAACAGAAGCATGTGCGTGTGTTCACGTGCCTTCTCCCCAGCACCCACTGTCACCTGTGACTGAGATGAGCAGGACTGGGCGGGGAGACCCCCCCCTCCCCCGCCAACCTGGAGCTCCACACTGGGGAAGATGCTGCAGTGCTTGGCCGCCGCTGACCGTCGATGAGGGCACGTGCGACCTATGTGTCTGGAGATCTCCATCTTCAGTTTTTTTAGCCCATAATTTGCTATCCACTAGAATAAAGAAAAGAAGTATTATCTTGGGTAATCAGGCAGAAGTGGATGACTGTCTGACTCATCTATTAAAACCTCCTCTTTGGCCCAGCTGGTGTGGCTCAGTGGCTGAGCGTCGACCCTGCACCAAAAGGTCACTGGTTCTATCCCTGGTCAGGGCACATGCCCAGGTTGTGGGCCCGATCCCCAGTGGGGGGCGTGCAGGAGGCGGCCAGTCAATGTTCTCTCTCATCAATGTTTCTCTCTCTCTCTCCCTTTCCCTTCCCCTCTCTCTAAAATCGATAAGGGAAAAATATTAAAAAACAAAACATCCTCTTTGAAATCTGTCTCATGTTTGCAATGCGGGCTCCTGGGCCTCGCCGAGAGCGCCCGCACGCAGCCTCCTTCCCGGCGCCGGAGAGGGGCACAAGAATATGGGCTCCAGGGAACACCATGTACTGCTGCTCCCTAGGCTGGTGGACACTGCTGTTTCCACATCATTTCAGTCTTCCCCCACAACACCTTGGTGGAAACCCCGATCAGCCTAGTTCACTCTGTGATCCCATCAGGACACGCTCAGTCTCTGTCATGAGGGTTACAGAACAGGCAGGCTCCAAGCAGTCAGAGCGTGGTCCCCAGGGCTGGCCCAGTGCGGACCCAGCTCGGACTTCACCGGATGGCGGAGGGAAGAAAGGTGTTCTACCTTCTGGACGAACATGGGGGATCTCTGTTGCTTGCAACCAGAAGGATGTGACACCACTAAGAACTTTACACAAAATATACTTCCGTTAGTCATTGATCGTATTGAATACGTACAACTGTCTTCATTTTACAGACAAGGACACTGAGATTAAACGTAGCTGAGGACTTGCTCACGGTCACCCTGGAGGCGGTGGCACACTCGGTCTTGAACCGAGGTGCAGTGAACCTTAGCGCTCATTGTGAGCAGGTCTGTCCTCACTTCCCAGTGTGCCCGGCCTCCGAGGGGTAACGGCTGGAGAAGGAAGAGCTGCCTGGGGGCCGTGTGCTGGTGCAGACAGCTTCGTACCTCTTGGCTCGAGCAGACTGTGTCCTTTCTGGGCAGCTCGACGGAAGAGCTCGTCCTTCTCACGCGCCTTCCTCGAGGGTACTTCCTGTACACTGAGCCTGGGAGAAGCGGAGTAAGGCTCCCTCGTGCATCTCTTCCCTTCCCTCCCCTGTCCCCACCGGTCCCCTTTCATGTCAGCTTCTCTGTCAGTCAAGTCACATGTGAGATTCCTTGGGAGCAGTTTGCCAGAGGGAGAGGGAGGCCATGAGGTGGGCAGGGCGAGCCTGCTGGGACCTCTGTCCTCCAAGCGGAGCGGCTCCTGCGCTCCGCACCACCTGCAGCAGGCAGGCTGGCTGGGGCCATCTGCACTCCCTTCCCACCCCGCCCGGGGCGCCCACACCGCCTCTCGTGGACTGAGTGGGAGTGCGCCCCCGGGACCGCGGGACACCTTCAGTATTGACTCTCCTCACTCTCTTGCCGGTGTCAAGACTGAGTCCACTTCCCTCGTCTGGGAGACCAGGGTGGTATCAGGAGGGGCCTGGACCAGGGCACTGCTGCCCATGTCCTGGACAGTGGGGGGGTCTCCTCCCCATGGGGCCCGCTGACCTTACAGGTCCCGCAGGGCAAGGGGCTTCCCAGACTCCCTGTCCTCCGACTTACCCACACTGTTCCCCGTCTCTGTATAGAACAGCGAAAGGGCCACCTCTGCTTCCCTCGACGTGGCCTTCCTCCTCTGGGCTCCAGAGTCCTCTTTGGCTGGCCGGGCTGCAGCTAGAGGACATGTGGCCTGTGGCTTGAGTGGATGCTTTCTGTACCCCATCTCAATGTGTCCTCGCTGTCCCCCAGTTTGCAGCATCGGTAAGCAGAGCAGACTCCACCCAGGTCCCATGGACTCCGGGCCTCTGCCCGAGCCCTCTGCCATGTCTTTGACGTCGCGAGTGGGACACGTGCTCTGAGGTGCTGGGAGCTGGGTCCTTTCCTAAGAACACCCATGCCTGCCACAGACAGCTGGCACTGGTCCTTACTCCCCTGAGCCTCAACTCCTCATCAGGAAAATGGGGGACTGATCGAGTGTGACACCTGGGACAGTCTTCGCAGAAGGGCTGGTGCACAATCAAGACTTGTGGTCACTGATCACTTTGGTCCCTGTCATGAGGTCACGCCCATGTGCCCCCGCCCTGCACCCAGGCCTCACCTGGTGGGATGCCGGCTGCGCCCCTGAGCAGAGGCCACGTCCCAGCTTTCCCGGGGGCACTGCTGTCTCGGGCAGGGCCATCTCTAGCGCCCTAAAAAACAGGCGGTCTTCCCCATCAGTGCCTACCCTCTGTGGCAGGTGCACCGGTCACCCCAGCCTCAGTCTGTCAAGCAGGACCTTTTGCAGGGTGGGGCCGAGGGGACTAGATCCCGCAGACGTTTTTGCCTCATCTCCTGCTGTAGGGTCGGAGGGACTCTGGCCTTCGAGGTGAAAAGGACGTGTGTGGACGCGCCAGTCACCCGCTCCTCCTCCGCTGGGCCTCCAGCCCACAGGTGGCCTCAGGTAACTGCCTTACTGCGCACCTCCTGTGTCGGGGGGCCTGTCATTACTGGACACACTGGAGGTGACGGGCCTGCTACGACTCTGGGGGAGCCGCTGGGAAAGGCCCGAGGCCTGCGCAGCCTAGTTCCTCGAGTCGGCTGAGGCGGCTCCAGAGGCCGGGGAATGCGGGGAGGCTGCTGCAGCCCAGCCCGTGCGGACAGCCCTCCCAGAACAGCCCAGGGACGAGCGAGCCACACGCTGGCTGGGACAAGTGTCCTCAGAGACGTGCTGGTCCGCGGGGCCTGTCCGTAGGTGAAAGGCTGAGGAGTCGGCGGGGTTCTTGGTCCCTTCCGCTCATGGAGGCTGGGACTCCCCAGTGGGCCTCCAGAGGCCCCTCCTGGTTGCTGAGGTGGGTGTTTTATGCTGGAGACAAACACTCCAGGGCCACCCCTCAGCCCTACCCTCGGGCAGCGGCAGCCCATGCGATGCCCCAACCCTCTCCTTTGCTCCTGAGAGACCCTCCAGGAGGAGCCCACCTGCCCACAGCAGGGCGTTTCAGCTCCCTGGGATCCTCAGGACCCAGCTAGGGGTCAAAGCTGGGATAGCCAGGCGGAGCCGAAGGTGGGAGTGGGGAGGCCAGAGGGCCCCCAGACCTGAGAAGCAGGTGCCCGGAGCAGTTCCTCTCTGTAAAGGCCCAGGCTGGAGGCCCCCACGGGACACTCACCCCTGAGGACCCTGCCCTCGCCCCCCGGGCCCTGGCCCAGGCTGCTGCAAGATCTAGGAAAGACCAGGAGACACGGTGGGAACAACGGCCTGTGTGTTATTGGGGAGGGAGTCAAACCATTCTGGCTGCCGCGGGGGGCGTGGGCTCGGAAGGACTGGGTTTCTTGGGCTGACTTCTTTGCTTGAGCATCTTCGGCTTTCCTGTCGGGAGGGCCGCGCTCCCCAGGGCTTTCCTGCACTGGTTCTTCAGGGAGGACACCAGGAAGGCGCACTGAAACAGGACGGGTGGTCAGCACCCAGCCACCGGGTGCTACCGCGCAGGACACACACTCACACATACTTGCGCGCGCACATACACGCTAGCACACAGACTCACACACTCACACACACATACACTCACACCCACGTACACCCACACCCACGTACACCCACACCCACTCACACACGCTAGCACACACACACGCTAGCACACAGACTCACACACACAGGAGCATCTACTAGGATCCTTGCACTCCTCTTTCTGCCTCTAGAATGCGTCAGGACAGAGGCCCTGTGGGTCAATCCCATTAATAATAAGTACCATATGCTCGGCCGGTGTGGCTCAGTGGTTGAGCATCGACCCTGCACCAAGAGGTCGCCAGTTTGATTCCCGGTCAGGGCACATGCCCAGGTTGTGGGCCTGATCCCCAGTGGGGGGCATGCAGGAGGCGGCCAATTGATGTTTTCTCTCATTGATGTTTCTATCTCTCTCTCCCTCTCCCTAAAACCAATAAAGAAAAATAGTAAGTACCATGCGTGGAGGGCTGGGGATGCACTGAGCACTGGGCATCTCAAACCCTCCAACCAGGTCGGGCAGGTGCCATGTCACAGATGAGGAAACCGAAGCTCTGTGTTTAAGGGACCTGCCCACACACAGGTGGGGACGGCTCCAACGGCAGTGCTCCCTCCCTGGGCGGACCACAGCCACTCGCGCTGGTCAGCTGGCTGCGTGCCAGGCCAGCTGGCCGGCAGAACAGTGTCCCACTGGGTTCCTCAGCTGCCTGGAAGGTCTCCAGTGATTATTCTCACCCAAAGCATTAGGAGGTACCACAGGGGTGTAAATGACGTCCTAGGAAGGGTGCGTTAAGTCATTATTGCCCATATATCTTGTGATGAGTTTATTGGATGAGGGACCTGAGGAAAAGGGGTTTTATTTATTTATTTTGTTAATCCTCACCTGAGGATATTGTCTCACTGGCTCCTTTAGAAAGAGTGGAAGAGATGATAGATAGATAGATAGATAGATAGATAGATAGATAGATAGAAAGAAACATTGCTGTGACAGAGACACATAGATTGGCTGCCTCCTGCACGACCCTATCCGGGACCGGGGCTCAAACCTGCAACCTAGGTATGTGCCTTTGACCGGCCATAGGCCAATGCTCTAACCACTGAACAAAACTGGCCAGGATGAGGAGAAGGGGTATTAACAGAAACAACACAGAGGGGTCCTTCTGGGAGGCACATTGAGGGGCCCTTCCAGGGAGAAAAAGGATGTGAAGAGGTGGTCTGCCCCCCAGGAACTCAGTGTTCTGCAACTGGCAGTCACTCAAGTGCGAGCCAGGCTGAGTCTCCTTCACAGGCCTGGCCACGGCCACCTACCTGCTCGCTGTCCAACCCCAAGGTGACTGCCCGGCCCTTACCTTCTCCCACCATCTGAAAGACACCTCCGCTTGTTGTCCACTGGCCCCATAAACTCACCCTGTCCCAGGCGCCCCCCTCATGCTGCCCCCTCCTGTTCTCTCTCTCTTGGTCATGGGCATATTGCCCACCATGTCCCCCATGAGTGCCTTGGAGTTACTCCGGGATTTCTTCTCCTCCCTGACCCCGTACAGTCGGCCACAAGTGTGTTCAGTTCTCCCCTGAATGGTCTCATGAGCACCCCTCACTCCCATTCTCAATGCTGCTGACCAGACCTCGCCCCTTCTGCTCCCACCTCGAGCTGGGCAGCGCCCTTCCTGGAGGAAGGGACATCCATGGACGGTCTGGGAGGGAACGACAGACAGCGTACATGGCAGGTGCAAAGGCCCTGAGTTTAGGAGTGAACTCCACATGCTCAAGGAACTCAAAGAAGGCCGGACTGTACAGCTCACAGACTGAAACCAGTGACTTACAGGAGACCCTCGTGTTTCATCTGGAGCCTTGGGGGTCAGTGGATCGGGACGTGAGTTGGGAAGCTGATGTGGGATGAATCCTGTCACCCAAAGATAGGTTGGCATCTGAACCCCTGGTATCTGTGACTGTGACCGCACTTGGAAGTTAGTTAACGAGGCCATACTGGAGAAAGGCAGGCCCCTAGTCTGGAATGACTGGTCTCACTACAAGAGGAGAAGGACATGGATCACAGAGGGGGCAGCTGTGTGCCGATGGAGATGGAGCTCGCTGCCGCGGCCAAGGGGTGCCAAGGACTGCCGGTGACAGGGACCCTGCTCTTGACCAGACTTTCGTCAGGCTCCTCTGAGCTGTCTTCTCAACTAGGCTTCCCCTTCGCCTGCTAAACCCGGTTTTAACAAACACTCTTGCTAAATCAGTTCAGTGAGAATCCCCACCCCTGATATTTGATCAAGTTCCTCGCCCCCCTCCCTGATGTCTAAGTCCTGGGCCCCCTTCAGCACACATCCTGCTAAGTCCATTTAGCAAGAGTCCCCTAGCCTTGCGAGCTAGCTAGTTTCTCTCAGTGCCTTCCCGCCATGACCCTGTCGCTGTGCTCACTGGCTAGAATCCCCAGCTGTCTTGGCTGTGTCCGGCGTCCAATTGCTCTTGCTCATTGCAATGGTCCGCATAAAGTTTTCCTTGACTTTAACGAGCATCCAGTATGATCTTTTTCTGTTCTTTTTTCTTTTTTGGTACATGCCCCTAGCGGGAACCGAACCTGGGACTCTGGTCCACAGGCCGGTGCTCCAAACTGGCCAGGGCTAATCTTTTTCTTTTTAAATTAATTAATTTATTTTTGTTACAGATGGTTCTCCTTTTCCCCCCTCTGACCCCCCCCCCGCCCCGATCTTTTTCTTAAACACCACCTTCCACTGAGGGATTCCACCTAGAGTCCTCAGAGGGAACATGGCCTGCAGCCCTGATGTCAGACTTCGAGCCTCTGAAACTGAGAGTATGTCTGTTGTTTTAAGCCGGCTGGTGTGTGGAGCTCTGCACCCCGTCCCAGAAACAACCTGGAGCCAGGACGGTCATTGCCCCACCCCAAGGCAAACCTTTTGGGAGTAGTTGAGAGCCTTGTCCATCTCAGACCTGATGGCGTTGATGTCATCACTTTCGTAAATGCCTGGAAACAAAGCCCATGGTGAGTGCGGGGAGGGGTGCAGGTACCGGGCACAGGAGGTACCCAGCAGGGCCGCGTGGAGGTGCCTGAGCTGAAGGGCTACGGTGGGGTCTTAATGGGCTAAGCTGACCAGCCCCGACCCTGACACAGTGCACTGGGGTCACAGCGAGTTCACCCACCGGACAGCCCTAGCACCAGTGAGAGTCGCACCCGCAGGGAGAGAAGGTGAGGAGCCAGGGTTCTGGGATTCCAGCGGAAGAAATCACCTGCTCGGGACCATGTAAAGTGCTGGTATCTGTAGTGAACGTTGATGACTAGCTCAAGAGAAACCAGAATATAATGACTAAGCAGACAGACCCTGAGGTTGGCCTGCCGGGGTTTAGCTCCTGGTCGAATCACTTAGCACCTGTGTCCCACACTCAGGCCATGTGAGGGGAGGGGAGGAGAGCTTTGTGGCATCAGCTCACAGTGATTCTTGTGCACAAGTAGTGTATTGTGGGGTGGCATACTCTGATCCCCCACAACTATCATAATAAAAAAATGTGTTCCTCTGTTCCGTGTACTACGTCTGGTCACCCACCAGTTGTAAACATTCCCACTTTGGGAAGTACAAAACTAAGGGACCTTCAGTGTCCTTCCTGCTCTGACATTCTGAAGTATTTACAAATAGTTTTTTTTGGTTTTTTTAATCCTCACTGGAGGACATTTTTCCATTTTTTGTTCAGATAGAGTGGGAGGGAGAGAGAGGAAGAGAGAGAGAGAGAGAGAGAGAGAGAGAGAGAGAAACATCGATGTGAAAGGGACACATTGAGTGGCTGCCACCCGCACGACCCAACCAGGGCCGGGGTACATGCCCTTAGCGGGAACCGAACCTGGGTCTCTCTGGACCGCAGGCCGATGCTCTAACCGCTGAGCCAAACCGGCCAGGGCAACAAATAGTTTTACTTTTCTTTTTTTACTTAAAAAATTACAGTGAGCCCTGGCCGGTTTGGTTCAGCGGTTAGAACATCCGCCTGCGGTCCGGAGAGACCCGGGTTCGGTTCCCGATAAGGGCATGTACCTCGGTTGCAGTTTGTCCCCGGCCCTGGTTGGTCGTGTGGGTGGCAGCCACTCGATGTGTCCCTTTCACATCGATGTTTCCCTCTCTCTCTCTCCCTCCCACTCTATCTGTGCAAAAAATGGAAAAGTGTCCTCGGGTGAGGATTAAAAAAAAAAAAAAAAAAAAAAAAAATTACAGTGAAACAGAGGTAGTGTGAGGTGCCACTTCACTCCTTTCAAGCACGCAGGTGCAGCACCGGGTACACGCCCACTGCCGTGTGGCCACACCCCCGCCGCCTGCAGTGAACACACCCAGTGTGTGAAGGGTTTTCCTTTTCTGAATGTGATTTCCACGTGCAGCTTTCCTGGGCCACATCTATGGCCCGGGAGTGATGTTGGCACTGAGATACTAGAACCAGCCAGCACGCACGCACCTGTGTCTCCAAACCAGTGGAAGCGGCCGCCAGTGGCCTGGGTGACCTCTCGGTAGGCAGCGGCTGTGTCGGTGCGGCTGGCGTAGCAGGCAGGGGGCGTGGTGTCCATCTGTGGCTCCCCCACGTAGAAGAGACACACGTTCAGCTGGAGGTCGCAGCCCCCACAGGCCTCAGCCATGTAGGCGCTGAGCGTGGGCTGTGGGGGAGAGAGGGCGGAGGGCTCCTGGAGCTGCTGGCCTCAGGTCAGTTCCGCCTGATCCTCATGCTTGAGGGCCTACTGTGTGCTGGTTCTTGGTGTTGAGGATAGAAAGACGAGTGACCTGGGTCACAATGTCTTTCTCCTACTTGGGTACGGCCAGGGAGCTGGACCCGAGAGCCTGGTGACACCAAGGCAACCTGGGAGCTTGTTAGAAACGCAGATTCCCAGGCCCCAGGGCAGACCTTCGGAACCAGGATCTGCATTTGAACAACATCCCCAGGTGATTCTCCTACACATGGAAGTCGAGTCTGATAAACCATGCTGGAGAGTTGCTGGGTGCCCACCTAGGGGACAATGTGGGGTCCTGAAGAATGGGGATGTCCAGGACGTAAAACACCTACCATGTCCTGGTCCGGGATGCCCCCTGTGAAGAGGTAGATGCCCTGCGATTGTTGTCTGTCTTTGTCCTTGAAGTCCACTTCCACAGCCTTCCTCAGGGCACCAAGGACGTTCCTGCTGCCCTCACAGTGCAGCGCCAGGGCCCACCTGGATGAGGAAAGGCCATGCGGAGGGAGGCCAGGGTGAGGCCAGGAACAGGAGGCAGCTGCTTGCAGATTCATACCCATGTCTGTCAGAGGGCAGCGAGTCTGCTGCCCAGTGGAGAGGGGGATGGAGAAAATGGCCCCACCCAGGCTGCCTGAGACCCAGCAGGAGCCGCCCTGCCCACCGCCTACCGCCAGGCACTCTGCAGGTGGTTGTGGCTCATGGGCACCATCTCGGGCCTCCAGCTTTCGATCGTGCTTCCAAACCTGGGAGGAAAGGGGAGGGCCTGTTCTTAGGCAGGAGGTCAGTCCACTCTGTGCCTAGCCCCTCGGGCTCCCAGGCTCAGAGGAGGCCAAAATCCTGGTCACACCCCGAAAATGTTGAGATGTCACCGGCCTGGGCCAGCTGAGATTCTGCTGGTCATGACCAGTCCTGGGACAGTCAGGGAGCAGGCAGAGCTGGGCCCTCAGTGGAGACAGAGCTGAGAGCAGCCCTGGCCAGACTCCCCTCCTGCTGTGCTTTGGCGCCTTGTGTTGTGTGTGGGAACTTCCCCCACTAAGAAGGGGGTCCTTTCTCCCTTTTCTAACCCCCATAGCACTGATTCATGCTCACAACACATTTTCACTTTCTCTCTGGACCAGTTTGTTTTTAATATGGGTCATCTCATCTTTCCTATGAGACAGAGCTTAAATCCACGAGAAGAGGACTCATCCCCTTCATCAGAGGAAAGGTGACTCCTCCCCGGTTCAAGTGGATTCCTCCGCCTGGACTCATGGCCAGCCCCTTCTGCGGCCGTGCACGCGCCTGCCTCCGCACGAGGCCCTGCGCTCCCGAGGGCGGGTGCTGTGTTGTAACCTCCGCGTGCCTAATGCCTGGCAGTGACTGGTACGTGGCAGGCTTTCAATAACAGCTTGTTGAATGAATGAATAGATGGATAAATGAATAAAAACATTGCCTAAAATGTTTCTTTAAGCATTTTGTCTTGGAATTTATTAAGAAAAGATTAGGCTCTGGTACAGAATTATATATAACATTAACTGCTAACTCAATAGGTTTAGAATACTCCCTATTAGATGTGAAGTTGTGGACAAATGTATGGTTTAAGCCCTGGCTGGTTTGGCTCAGCGGTTAGAGCGTTAGAGTGTCAGCCCAGAGACCAATGAGTTGTGGGTTCAATTCCAGTCAAGGGCACATACCTCAATTTTGGTTCATCCCTGGGATGTTTTTTTCCATCTCTCTCTCCTTCCTTCCCTCCCTCCCACTCTATCTGATGATAAACAGAAAAATATCCTCGGGTAAGGAATTAAAAAAAAAATGTATAGTTTAAGTGGGTTCCTTTTCTCTCTGTCTCTCCTAATTAGTTAGTTAGCCCAGCCAGTGTGGCTCAGTGATTGAGCATTGACCCATACACCAAGAGGTTGCCAGTTCAATTCCCAGTTAGGGCACATGCCCAGGTTGTGGGCCTGATCCCCAGTGGGGGGCATGAAGGAAGTGCATGTTCTCTCTCACTGATGTTTCTATCTCTTTCTTCCTTTCTCTCCAAAATCAATAAAGAAAAATAAAATAAAGTAAAATAAAATGGTATGCAATTAAAATACGTATATAACTATGTATATATTGATATATAACTATATAACTTAGTTATATGTAAATTAAATATATAGTTATATATAATTAAAATATATATAAATATATATAAAATATTTAAAATTCAATTATATTTCAAATTGAGATATTTACATGTATATTATTTTATATATTTATACCTATATAATTTAATTATATATAGCTACACAAAAATTAAAATTTGAATTGAAGCCCTAAATTAAATATTGTGGCTTGCCAAACCCAAGTTAGGAGCTATGACGGGGCATGGCTGGGGCCCTTTTTTCTCTCTTGTGTTTATCAGCTTGGAAGCCAAATGGGGCAATGGGTGGAGTTATTTTATCCTGGCTGATCAGGCGGTGTGTTTTGGGGTTGCTTATTACCTTCTCTCCAGTGGGACTGTTCTGCAGTCATTTAATTATTCAATGCCCCAAACAAGATCATTTGAATCAGATAAGCAGAGGCCTGTGGCCCAGGGTGCCGGGTGCTCACACGTCTTGTGTAGTGCCCTGAGGAACCCTCGGCCAGCAGCCATGCCGGGCACCCCGACCTCCCCACCGGGACCCGGGGCTCACGCGATGACATTGAAGGCATCCTTGTTGGACAGCTGCTCCTCCAGCAGAAGCCGCAGGGAGTGCTGGATATGAATAATGTACATGGAATTGGTCGCAGAGATATCGAGCAGTATAACCACCCTACACAGAAACACAAGCTTTAGGAGAACTGAATCTCTCAGATAGTGTTCATTTTGTTCCATTTTACTATTTAAAGTGGTTTCCAGGGGAACTTCACATGCCGAGTTCACAGCTGGCCAAAGTTTTCTCCGCGGTTGGAGGTCAACAGAGGTAGACTTAGGGGTCATGGAGACTTCTGTCTCAGGGGTCCTGCCATGGAACAGCCTCATGCTAGAGATGGTGTAAGGGGCATACAAAGCCTTTCACACCTTTCCTTGTTTTAAAGCACTAGTATTCAATATTGTTATAAGTTGGGGTCTTTGAAGGGAGAACAGAAACAAGGTAAGCAAGTTAGACCTGGAATTCTGTGTCTCTGGGCTTCTGGGGAAATGTATCTCTTTGTTTCCCTTCTCTATTTCATGATGTTTAGCCCCATTCAGTTTTCTCCTTTCACTATTTCAAACCTTACATCCCACCTCCTCCCTCCGTTCTCATTTTGAGACAACTATAGATAGCAAAAAAATCTACTGGATTTAGAATCAGAAGACCCTGGTTCAAGTCCCATTTCCTGTATGGCCTTAGGCAAGTCACAAAACCTCTCTGATCCTTGGTATGCTTACTATAAACTACATTATTTATAATAAGATTACTCATAGGGATGAGTCAAGATTTAAAGGATAGCCCGGCCAGTGTGGCTTAGCAGTTGAGCATTGACCCATGCACTAAGAGGTCGGCAGTTCAATTCCCGGTCAGGTTGTGGGTCTGATCCCCAGTGGGGGAATGCAGGAGGCAGCCAATCAATGTTCTCTCTCATCGATGTTTCTCTCAGTCTCTCTAAAATTTAAAAAAAAAAAATATTTTTTTTTAAATTAAAGGATAGATAGACTTCCGGTCAAGATGGCGGGTAGGTAAATGCGGTATCGCGTCCTCCCACAACCACATCAAAGTTACAACTAAACTACAGAACAACCATCATTCAAAACCGCCTGACATCAAGCTGAATGGAAGTCGTACAACTACGGAATTAACGCAGCAGCCACATCGAGACTGGTAGGAGGGGCGGAGGGGACGGGCTGGTCCCACACCCACGTGTGGCGGATAAAAATCAGGAGGACACCTCGGCTGGGAAGGTCCTTCCTGAGGACTGAGGGGTCCCCGTCCCATACCAGGTGTCCCGCTCAGGGTTCCAGTGCCAGGAAGAGAATCCCCATCACTTCTGGCTGGAAAAACCAGCGGGAACTGAGGCTCAGGGAGGCTGAGGCGGCTGGAGCCCCAGGCGGCTCCTTAAAGGGCCCGTGCACAGACTTATCAGACTCTCTCCCTCTAAGCTTGGAGGGGAGGCAGCTCGAGGGGCACCAGAGACATACAGGGAAGAACTGAGCTGTTTGGCACTGGAGCGAGGTCTGGAGAGGGGGCTTTCTCCGGGACAAACGTGCTGTCAGAGGCCTTTGTTCCTTTGGTGAGCCCTTCCCTGGGGCGGCAGACAGAAGCCATATCTGGACTCCAGCAACCTGGCTCACACTGGTAGCCCCGCCCTGGTGACTCCCTGAGGCCCCGCCCCACCCAACCTTCAGGCCCACCCAAGCTGTTGCCACTTGCTTTACCATAGGATTGGCTGGTGTTGGATCCTGCTTCAGGTTTTTCCTAAATTCTTTCAAACAAGCAGCATCTGGTCTCAGCTAGCCCGATACCTCTGGTTAAGTAATACAGTGATACCTCGGTTCTCGAACGCCTCGGATTTCGACCAAATCGGTATTCGACCAGGAGATTCGAGAAACTTTTGTCTTGGAATCCGAACAAATATTTGGAACTCGAACTTCCGAGATGAGCCGAGTTGAGCCGAATGGTGTTCATTCGGCCCAGCGCGCCTTGCTTGCGTCATCAGTGTGAGTGCAGAGAGAGAGTCACGCTTTGTGGAGAGAGTCACGCTTTGTGGAGAGAGTCACACTTTACACTGAATTTAACCCTTAGACATACTGTACACTTTTATTTCTTGTTGAGACTTATGTTTTTCTACATATTATATACAAATTAGGCCAGTAAATAGGCATTTTCTGGGGCTTGGAATGAATTAATCCAGTTTCCATTATTTCCTATTGGGTTTCATTGCTTCGGTTCTCGAACAATTTGGTTCTCGACCGTCCTCCTGGAACGAATTATGTTCGAGAACCGAGGTATCACTGTACACTGAAACAAACACAGGGAGGCAGCCAAAATGAGGAGACAAAGAAACAGGTCCCAAATGAAAGAACAGAACAAGACCCTAGGAAAAGAACTAAGCGAAATGGAGATAAGCAACCTAACAGATGCAGAGTTCAAAACACTGCTTATAAGAATGTTCAGTGAACTTAATTAGAACCTCAGTGAACTTAGTGAGGGCCTCAAGAGCATAAAAAAGGACCAGTCAGAAATCATGGATGCACAGTTAGAATTGAAGGAGGCATTAACTGAAATAAAGAATAATTTACACAGCTTCAATAATAGAGTACGTAAATCCAAGGAGCAAACCATTGATTTGAAATATAAGGAAGCAAAAAATGCCCAATCAGAACAGCAAAAAGAAAAAAGAATCCAAAAAAATGAGGATAGTGTAAGGAGCCTCTGGGACAACTTCAAGCATGCCAACATTCACATCTTGGGGTTGCCAGAAGGAGAAGAGCGAGAACAAGAAATCGAAAACCTGTTTGAAACAATAATGGCAGAACACTTTCCTAACTTGGTGAAGGAAACAGACATACAAGTCCAGGAAGCACAGAGAGTTCCAAACAAGATGAACCCCAAGAGGCCCACACCAAGACACATCATCATCAAAATGCAAAAGGTTCAAGACAAAGAGAGAATCTTAAAAGCAGCAAGAGAAAGGCAGCTAGTTACCTACAAGGGAGTTCCCATTAGGCTGTCAGCTGATTTCTCAAAAGAAACTTTGCAGGCCAGAAGGGAGTGGCAAGAAATATTCAGAGTGATGAAAACCAAGAACCTACAACCAAGATTACTTTATCCTGCAAAGCTGTCATTTAGAATCGATGGCCATATAAAGAGTTTCCCAGACAAGGAAAAGTTAGAGGAGTTCATCACCACCAAACCGTTATTATATGAAATGATGAAGGGTCTTTTTGAAGAAAAAGATAAAATATATGAACAAACAAAATGGGAATAAATACATATCTATCAACAATGGGCCCTGGCCGGTTTGGCTCAGCGGTTAGAGCGTCGGCCTGCGGTCCTGAGAGACCCGGGTTCGGTTCCCGCTAAGGGCACGTACTTCGGTTGCAGTTCGTCCCCGGCCCTGGTTGGTCGTGCGGGTGGCGGCCGCTCGATGTGTTCCTTTCACATCGATGTTTCTCTCTCTCTCTCTGTTCCTCTCTCTCCCTCCCACTCTACCTGAACAAAAAAATGGAAAAATGTCCTCGGGTGAGGATAAAAAACAAAAACAAAAACAAAAAAAACAACAATGGAATCTACAAACAAAATGAACAGGTAGAACAGAAACATTCTCATAGATATAGAGAACATTTTGTTGGTTGCCAGATGGGAGGGTGGTTGGGGGAATGGGTGAAAAAGGTGAAGGGATTAAGAAGCACAAATTCATTGCTAGACTGACAAACCTCAAAGGGAAAGGGGCTGGGGGGAGTGGGAAGAAATAAACCAGAGAATTTATCTGCATAACCAATGGACAGAGACAACAGTGTGGGAAAAGGTGGGAGGGGGGCGGGAGTGGGGAGGAGGGGGTCAATGGGGAAAAAATGTGGAACATCTGTAATACATTTTACATCCAACAATAAATATTTTTTAAAAAAAGAATTAAAGGATATAATAGATGTACAGCATTACACAGTATACTATTTTGTAAAGATAACCTATCAAATAAGGTATGGAATGAGAACAATGTTTATAATGGATATCCATTGTTTCTCCCTACTCAGCATCCATTACCTCTTCTGGTGACAGCATCCTAGTTTTCCTTATCAGTCCATTTGTTGTGGGTAGAGCTGACCCTACTCCGAGCTTTGAGAGTGGGTGTTTGACCCTAAGGAATCAGAACATCACGCCACCCTGGCCAGGGTGAGCTCATGGATGGGCCCTTGCTTCAAGCACTGGGAATGCTAAAATTGGTACAAAGTAAATTGGGGGCCACTTGGAGGGGAAAGCCTGCTTGAAAACAAAGCCATCAGAGCAGAAAGCAGAGAGAGAGAGAGAGAGAGAGAGAGAGAGAGAGAGAGAGAGAGAGAGAGAGAGAGATGGATTTCTGACATTCACAAACCTCTGGATCGAGCCTTGCCTGAAGACAGCTAGCAAATCTATTCTGGAATTTTCAGTTACTTTAACCAGACTTCCATGTTTTGTTTAAGCTAATTTGCACCTAGTTTCTGTTGCTTCTTAACTGAAAGAATCCTGAGTGACACAATGATAATATATTGATGTTGATGATGATGGTGGTGACTTTTTCCTCCAGAGATTCTGCTGATCCTTAGGCTAAGTGATGGATTCTGATGCTACCAACTGGGAACCCATGAGTTGGGTAAGTTCTCTGTCACACACCAAACCCACAGAGGACAAAAATAATGCTTAAGGAAAGGTACCTTTTTTCGCAGACGGTGCCCCAGATCCTTCTGCTGGCCAATGAGAGCCACTCAATCCGTCTCTCGTACATCCGCATAGCTCTGCTGAGCTGTTTCTGCAAACCCATGGGCCACACAGGGTGAGTCACTGCACAAAGGGTGGCTGATTAAGGGGTCTGAGAGAGAAGGGGTGTCCTCCAGTTGGCTTTTGGGGATGGTGTGTCAAAGCCCTGGGTACAAACGTTCCACCAAATCACGGGAGAATCTGCCATAAGACCATGGAAAGTCAAAGTATTTAATTGTCCCACATTGGGGAGCAGGTAGATCTTGTCCCAAAGGATTAGAGGCTTTTTTGTTGTTGATTTTTTTGGATTAGAGGCTTTTGCTTGAGGCACCCAGGCCTCTGCCTGGGGTAGGATGGGGTGGAGAAGCCCCAGAGGGGCCTGTGGGAGGAGCACAGTCTGTTTACAAGAGAGAATCCAGTCAGTGGCCCGGTGCCTTCCTCCCATCCCCCCTTCCTGCACCCCATTTTCGGACCGACTGTACCCATCGCTGACCTGGTACTCGTAGAGGAAGGGCAGGTCCACGTGAACATTCTTCACGGTCCCATCATGCCACTGGAACTGGACCATTGCCTTCTGCATTCAGTGTGGCCAGGAGGGAGCGCAGGTGAATGGAAGCACCATGAGGAGGAATTTTAAATTCAATTTGGGCACTGAGACTCTAACCACATCTGCCACCAGGTCACTGCCCTGCCTGGAGCAGGCAGCAGAGGGCCGTCAGGACAGTGGTCCTGGACCGAACCAGGCCAGACAGCAAGTTGGGCTGCCGCCTTGGGGGGCTCTTTCGAACAGTGAAATCTTTGTTGTAAAATATGGTTGGAGCCCTGGCCAGTTTGGCTCAGCAGTTAGAGCGTCAGCCTGCGGTCCAGAGAGACCCAGGTTCGGTTCCCGCTAAGGGCATGTACCTCGGTTGCAGTTAGTCCCCGGCCCTGGTTGAGTCGTGCGGGTGGCAGCCACTCAATGTGTCCCTTTCACGTCGATGTTTCTCTCTCTCTCTGTTCCTCTCTCTCCCTCCCACTCTATCTGAACAAAAAATGGAAAAATGTCCTCAGGTGAGGATAAAATAAAATAAAATAAAATAAAATAAAATAAAATAAAATAAAAATAAAATATGGTTGGCGGTTTGGTGATAGCAGAGTAAGAGACCTTAAAAACACACTGACCATGGATTCTTAGGTTTGGGAACCCCACATGGGCCTTCATGAACACTCTGAAAATCAAATTTGTTCATCTTGTTCATCCATCCTCCACCAAGTCATCATATTCATACCTCAACTATTACTCCATCCACCTAGCTATTCATCCACTTACTGCTTGTATTACACACCTCTTCCCTTTTATTCTTGTCTTTCCACTCATCTTTGCACTCATTCATCCTTCCATGTCTCCCTCCATCTGTTCCCATTTCCTTCCATCCATCCATCCATGTGCCCACGTTTCCATGCAGTCATCAATACTTCCATCCATCCACCATTCACCCTTTGGTTCCTTCCTTCCACCCACTCAGTCATCCAGTAAACAGCACTGACTGGTGACTTGTACTACATCGTCAGTGATGCAGTTTCTTTTCTCTTAAAGGGCTCCTACTCTGGTGAGATTTGGACATGTAACAAATACATGCATTGACACACTGTAGCAGCTCCAGCAGGAGTCTGTGCCAGGTACAGTGAGGACACAGAGTGAGTGTGTTCTGAGGGGGTGACTATGGTACCCAATTTACTCCCTCCTGCCCCATCTCCCGTTTCATTTTCAGTGGGTGGAAAGCCTGCATCCCACTCCGGCCCTCAGACCCACGCCTCAGGCTCGGCCTTATGACTCATTTTCTGAACATTTAAGAAGGGAAATGCACAAAGGAGCCCCCTGCAGAGGACGAAGAGAATCTGAACTCGCGTCACCTGATGGACAGTTGACGATACGGTTTTCTGGAGAACAGGCACAAATTCCTCGACAGGGGAGAATGCATTGGGTGCCAGGACCTGATAAAGGCTGAGCTTCCTGGCTGCGAAATGAACAGCTGGTTTCAGGCACCGCCCACGGGCACCCAGAGGGCGACTGCCTCTAGTCTGCGGCCTGAGTCCTTGGGCATTTACCTTTTAGGCCATTGACCTTTAGCCATTCTGCAGAAGTCTTGTCCAAGTTGGGGAACTCAATTGTGAGGGGAGCTTCATGCTTTGGGGGTTTAGGCAGGAGACCTCTGAGTGGCTCTTTTGCAATCTCTGTGGAAATCTAAATTAAAATAAAAAAATCTCATCACATAGCCCTGGTTGGTTTGGCTCAGCAGCTGGAATGTCAGTCCACAAACCAAAGAGTTGCGGGTTCAATTCTGGCTAAGGGCACATACCTGGGTTGCAGGCTTGATCCCCACCTTTATTTAGGTAGTTTTGCCTTCCCCTCTCACTATCCCTATGTCCCTTTCTGGAGATTTCTGGAATTTCCAGGGGAAGAGAAAGATGTGTCCAACAACTCGATTCCTCTTGCACCGACTCATCCTCCTGGCTCCTTCCCCACCCTTACCATTAAGACCAGTGCCCTTGCCCGGCTGGTGTAGCTCAGTGGAATGAGCATTGCCCCATGGACTGGGCGGTCCCGGTTCGATGCGCAGTCAGGGAACGTGCCAGGGTTTCAGGCTTGATCCCCAGTAGGGGGCATGTGGGAGGCAACCGATGGATGTTCTCTCTCACATTAATGTTTCTCTTTTTCTCCCTTAAAAAAAATCAATAAAAACATATTTAAAAATAAAAAAAAGATTAGTACCTTGGCCTCCTGATGACAGGTGGCCCCTCAGTGGGCTCAAACACCAGACTTCAGGGAACTAAAAAGTAGTTGTACCCCAAATCGTGCGGGGGGCTCTAACCTAGCCCAGCCTCCCTCGCCCACACTTATAAACAGAAACCCTGCGGTTCTGAGAGGGAAGCTCACACAGCTCATGTGGCAGGGAAATGCAGGACAGCAATTCCCAAACTGGACATTCGAGTGCCATTCTCATAGATGTTGCTGTATCTGAACACCGTTGTACTATTATGTACTCACTTTATTTTGAAATCAAACATGTGGCATTGAAGCTTTTTAATATTCAATTTGATTCACTTTTTAAAACAGACTCTTTTTTTTGGGTACTTAAATAATTTTAGAAAGATCTATTACTACCATAATGAGCTAGTTTTATTTATTTACTCCTCACCTGAAGATATTTTTCTACTTATTATTAGATAGAGTGAGAGGGAGGGAGAGAGACAGAGAGAAACATCGATGTGATAGAGCCACATTGACTGGTTGCCTCCCGCACGACCCAACCAGGGCCGGGGACGAACCATAACTGACGTGCGTGCCCTTGATTGGAATTGAACCCGCAACTCATTGGTCTGCAGGCTGACGCTCTAACCGCTGAGCCAAACCAGCCACGGCCATAATGAGTCAGTTTTAAATATATAACATTATAAGAGCATGGAATTTGGAGCTCAGGGCAGATCAAATTCCAGCTCTGCCACTTACTAGTTGTGCGATCAATGCAAATTGTTTAACCTTAGTTTGCTCATCTATAAAATGGGAATAATAATAGCTTCATAAAATTGCTGATAGAATTATTGGTTTAAGATGCATAAAACATATTGAAGAGGGTCCGATAAGCCATTTTTATACAATTTGGAATAAATCCAAATAAAAGATTTTCTAAACATGAAAAAAAATAAAAAATAAAAAATAAAAATATAACATTAAAACTATGAATCCATGTATCACTTCACAATCATCTTGCAAACCACACGTAATGCATGTATTTCGTTTTGGGAAACTTCTGACAAGGGTTTAGCCAATGGCAGACCTGCGTTCAATCAGATTCAGTGTTCTCCATCTCTGTGATCCTGAGCACATTATTACTTTTTAAATGTTTTTTTATTGATTTTTAGAGAGAGAGGAAGGGAGAAAGAGAAATGTCAATGTGAGAGACACATGGATCCGGTTGCCTCCTTCACGCCCCCTACAGGGGATCGAGCCTGCAACCTGGGCATGACCGGAATCGAACTGGGACCTCTCAGTCTGTGGGACGATGCGCAACCCACTGAGCCACACCGGCTGGGCACATTATTTAAATGTTGACTTCAGTTTGCTCATCTGTTAGATGGGGTTGATAATATTCCTCCCTCACATGCTGTTGTTGTAAAGATAAAACAGAGAACACAGCACTGTGCCCACCTTCCACTGTGCCCTCAGCAAATGAGAGCTGGAACTAGACTACAAATGTTGGCGTGGTTATGCCGTCAGGAGAGCGAGCACTGAAGCTGCTGTTTCTCTCACTGCTACCAGCCAGGACGCATGCTTTTCTGCCCACAGCCAACCTCTGTGCTGCCCGAACAGCAGAGGGCTTTCCTGGGGCTTGTGTGGTTCTGCCCATGGCATGTTAACTGCCACTGGGCAGGGAGCCACTGGGCAGGGGGCCACTGGGCAGGGACACAGGCCCTGAAGGCAGGGCGGGGGAAGACCATGTTCCAGACAGCCTACTCTGTGCGCTGAGGTTTTCCTCCTTCTCCAAACTGGGGGAACGAGAAGGTGGAAGGGGTGACAGGAGCCTGCTGGCCTTTCCCTGGAACATATTTTTCAGTTAGAAGATCCACCAGGACCCTTCTGCACAGTGGAAGGCCTGCGGCCCTGCAGCTCACAAAGACGAGGCTTTGTCTGGTCTTCCAGGACATGGGGGTTTGACAGCCCTGCCCTCTGACAGGGAAGGAAGGAGAATGGGGTGAGGCCAGCTGCGTGCCTCCTGGAAAAGGTCCCAGAATTTCCCCTCCCACCTACCTCCTTCATCTCGCCGGTGAGCTCCTCTCCAGGGCCGCTGTGGTGCAGGGCCTGGACGTGGCCCAGGAGGCTCTGGGCCTCCTGCATTTCGGCCAGCAGCTCCTCGATGTCGGGGCCGGCACAGATCTGGGGGCGGTAGGAGTGGTCAGCCACCCAGAAGCCACCTAGCCACTGGCAGTAGCCGAGGCAAGAGAGGCCAGTGGCACCGTCACCTCCTCAAGCCGGTGGCAGACCTTTAAAGCCACCTTATAAACGGGGTCCGTGTTCGGGACAGAGCTTGCAAAGGTGCTGTGTCCCATTCACACAGCTCTGGTGGGGAGGGTCTTTAAGCAAGCTGTCTGACCTTAAAAATATGACAAAACACTTGACACCCTCTAGTGGGGCTACGGCACAGCAATAATTTTAAAAGGACTATAATAAATGTTGGCAGAATGCTGAGAGCTGAAACTCTTGTACATGGCTGGGGGGACTGTAAAAGGTGCAGCTGCCGTGGAGAACAGTTCGGGGCTCCTCAGAAAGGTAAACACCGCGGGTTTGATCCCCAGCCTCGTCCTGCGAGAGGCAGGCAGTCAATGTGTCTCCCTCACACTGATGTCTGCCTGCCTGTCTGCCTGTCTGTCTCCCCCCCTCCCTTCCACTCTAACTACAAAATCAATGGAACATATCCTTGGGTGAGGATTAACCAAAATAATAATAATAATAATAATAATAATAATAATAATAATTAGAATTACTCCGTGACCGAGCATTGCCTTCCTAGGTATGTACCTCAGACACTTGAAAACGGGGCTCATACTCATACACCAATGTTCATGGCAGTCTGCAATAACCAAAAGGTGGAAACAACCCACATGTCCACCAACTGATGAACAGATAAATAAAACATCCAGAAAGTGGAATATTATCACCGTAAAAAGGAATAAAGTATGGATACCTGCTACAACATGGATGAACCCTGAAAACATTATGCTAAGTGAAAGAAGCCAGACACAGAAGGTGTGTGATCCCACCAAAATGACATGTCCAGGCTCAGTGAGCCCACAGAGACAGGGAGCGGACGTCGGGTTTGCGGAGGGGAAGTGGAGTGATTACCTCGTGGTGCAGTTTCCTTTGAAGAGACAAATGTTCGGGAATTAGACAGAGGTGGTGGTTGCCCAACATGCTGACTGTACAAACACCGCTAACTACACCTAAAAGCGGTTACTTCATCTTATGTGAATTTCACCTCTTTTTTTTAATGTAAAAAATAACACACAAAATAATCCAGATTTATGGTTCTTGAAAAACCCAGAGGACCCAGTAACAGGCTGCCTTCCTACAGAGCAGTGGGGGCGGGCTGAGCAGGGCGTCCAGTCAGGGTGTCCGGCTCGGTCCCCACAGCCCCTCCCACTGTTGCCCCGGCCAATCAGCTGTCACTTTCTGTCACCTTGCATTGTTGTTTCGCTCACATTGAAGAAGACAATGAAGCATGTTGTGCCTGTTTCTCCATCAGGAGTGGAAAACAGCAGGTAGGCCGAGAGGGCCCCAGGGTTTAAAACGAGACGTCCCTTAGACGAGCTCATTCCTTCATCACTGACTGCACCTTCCCAGCCCCGCAGTCCGTGCCCCACAAACAGAATCTGGGAACGAGGTGACAAGGGGTGCCCGAGGGAAAGTGCTTCCCAACGCTGGCTCCCTCGTGTGATGGGCCGCACCTGGTGACACCCCAGCGTACTTGTGAGCAGCGGCTGTTCGCTTCCTCGTGGATTAATGGTGAGCAGGGAGGCGCAGCCTGATAGCTGGACAGACGGTCAGGTTTTCCGTCTGCCCAATGGACTCACACACGTTTGCTAACTGTTACCCCCACTGTGGACATGGTGTGCGCGATGTTAGTATTATCTGGGACAGGGACGCTAATGGGTGGGTCGGTGTAAAACTATTGCGGTGGGTCCCCTGTAGGAGACCGAAATGAGTGACCGACTCAGACTCGGGGCTCCGAGGGGCCCACAATGACGGCTGGACAGAGATTCAGGCTTCTACCCACTAGGTTTCAAAGGCCTCCAGCCTCACAGGTGTGCAATCAGCCCATCCATCATCCATGCTAACCAAGGATCACATGTTCTTCCCACATATTCATTTCAACCTGATTGCACCTGTGTAAACCCACTGAGCTTGGGGCGGGGGTCCAGGTACAGAGCAGGGTCTGTCCTGGCCCACAATGGTGGCAGGTGGCGGGGAGAGCAGTCGGGGCCGCGGCTTACCTCCATCTCTGGGGTGTAGCAGTGGTAGTGGCCCCCAACAGCTTCTGCAAGGTTCTTCAGGACAGCCTGCAGGGTGGCAGCAGGGTACCCTCACTGAGGCCATGCCGATGCTCAACAAGCTTTCTCCTTGATGGAGCCTCCGCCTTTCAACTCCCAATGCTTCCCATCCAACCCAAGGAAGAACGAGGTTCCGGGAGAACGTGCTCCAGCCCCCCGCGTGGGGCCTGGCCACACAGGGAGCCCCCGGCTGGCCCCGCTCACCATGGGCACTGGAGTCTCGGGTACTTACAGGGGGCACCTGGTCCTCGCATCTGTAGGTGACCATGTGGGTGTGGAGGCCCCTGCCCATGGTGGACTGCTGGATGTAGTCAGACAGAATTTCAGCAGGCTGGTCTGGGCTGGGAGAGGATGCACGGAGGTAAGGGACACTCCAGCATGAGGACATTTCAGAGCAAAATGGCACTTTCCAGGGAACATCTGCAGACTCTAACCACCTGGGTCCCAGGTCACCCGTGCAGGATGCCAGGCAAACTGAACCACGGGCCTGCCAGCCCTGTGACGATGGCCCGAGGGTCAGGAGTTGTGCCAGATGCTCCGTCTCCTAACAGGGTGTGGTCCTCTGGCCCCGTCAGGTAGTCTGTTACCGCTTAGGAAAGGAGACCTACCAGCTTCCCAATATGGTCACCAGAGAATTCAGCCCCTTTACAGCGAAGACTTTCTTCAGGGCTTGTAGCAGATTGCTGCCTCCGCCGGGCTGTAGTTTCTTCACCCAGAGCTTCAGATCCTGCAGGCTGGGGAGACAACAGCAACCTAATCACAGCATTGTTCCCAGATGCCAGACCCAGGACAAACAGGAGCTCCTTGAGCCCCGATGATAACTCTCTGAGGTAGAGGCCCTTGTTCCCATTTTATAGATGAGGCGACTGGGGCTCCGAGTTAGGACTTGCCAGGATGAAACTGCAACACTGAGTCCACCAGGTGTGACTCTAGGACCTGAGCTTCTAGCAGTTCTGCTGTTAGAGGGTCTGGGGCTAAGAACCTTCTTCCACGAACCCCCACAACCCCAACTGTCCTGGGAGGCAGACCTCAGCCTGAAGCGCGGAGTTAATCACCTAGCACAGAGGGCTCTAAGGGCAGGCCTGCTGTGTGCCTACGTCCAGGTGGATGGGGACACACTGGTAACATGAACGTGGCTGAGCCCAGTGCTTTCTTGGTTAAGCACCTCACAGGGTTCTAGTGAGAGTTCTGTTCTGTCCATCAGCTCTTTAGTCTCAGCCCAAACCCCCAAATCTCTGCTTGTCTGTCTTTCGTTATTTTAACTGTTGAGTCTCTCTTTTAAATAGAGAAAAAACAAGTTCAGGCCTAGTGCCTCCTGTAGCCAATAGGCTTCAAGCTGGAATTTAATATCATTTTGTTTGTTTTCCTTGTATTTATTTTTTGGCTACTTCCTAATTAGGGCAAAGACTGCTGTGGCTCAGTGGTTGAGCATTGTCCCATGGACTGAGAGGTCCTGGATCGATGCCCCGCCAGGGCACATGCCCAGGTTGTGGGCTTGATCCCCAGTGGGGGGGCATGCAGGAGGTGGCCAAAAGATGTTCTCTCTCATCCATGTTTCTATCTCCCTCTCCCTTTCTCTCTCTCTCAAATCAATAAAGAAAATTTTTTTTTTAAAAAAAGAAAATCGGTAACGGAGAAGTGGCTCGGAGTAAACGGCAGTACACATGGCAGAGACATAGTGAAAACCATGGAAGTCCAAGAATGATGGACGTTGAGGAACCCCTGGCTGGGTGACCTCCCAGGCACTTCCTGGTCGGACAGTGGAGGTCGGGGTCCAACTCAGGTGGGAATCACAGTGAGATGCTCTCATTCCCTGAGCGCCTGCCACATGCCAGGTTCTTATTGTTTATTGCGTCCCCACCACAGCTCAGTGAGGTGCAGGTTTCACTCTGCTCGTGATGAAGGACTGGACAGGGTCACCCAGCACCTGTCCGAGCGGGGATCGAAGCCGCACTGCTGGAGCCGAGCACCCTCCACTCAGAGCGGTCCTCTTTACAGCCAGTGCCAGCAAGGAGGCCTCCCTCCCAGAAACCCAAGCCTGGGGCCTTTCCTGGACTCTGCTCGGAATCGAATCCTGGCTCTGCTGCTGTGGGCACGTTCTGTACCCGAGTCACAGTTTCCCCATCTGCAAAATGGGGATGATAACCCCAAATATTAAATAAGAGAGTCATGCAGTGCCTAGTGTGGCACTTAACACATGGTGGGTGAGCAAAGATATGTCCTTCATGGAACAGAAATTTCTACTCAGTGGTATAGGTAGAAACTTACCTACATTTCCTCTCTCTGCTTCCCCAAACTAGAAAGTCCCAGTATAGGAACAGTTAAACTGAGTACATCTGTGCAGTGGAATACTACATAGCTGTTAAAAGAATGAGGTGGCCTGGCCAGGTGGCTCAGTTGGTTGGAGTGTCACCCTGTACACCAAAAGGTTGTGGGTCTTATTCCTGTTCAGGGTACATACAGAAGGCTAGCAATCAATGTTTCCCTTTCTCTCTCTCCACTTTCTAAAATCAATAAAAACCAGAAACGAGTGAGGCGGACCTGTACGCACTGAGGAAATGCTATGCAAGGTCAGGTGTGAAGCCAGCTGCAGGCCAGTGTGCATGCTCCTGTTTGTGTTTACATAAGAGGACGAACCCACAGGGCATGTGTGACCCTTTGGATGCGACAGAAGAAACCATTACTGGGAGACAGAGAGGGCTCAGGTGAGGGAGACTCATCTGCTATAATTTGTCCTTTCATAATGTTTGAATTTTCGAAGATGAGCATGTATTGTTTTCATGATAATAACACTATCTGTCCAGCCAGTGTGGCTCAGTGGCTGAGCGTCAACCCATGGACCAAGAGGTTGCTGATTCGATTCCTGGTCAGGACACATGCCTGGCGGCTGATCAGTTTCTATCTTTCTCTCTAAAAATCATTAAAAATATATTTTTTAAAAGAATGTTAAAAAAAAATAAAACTGTCTGCCAGTTTGCTGGATAAAAATGGTGTCTCGTGGTTGTCTTGTCTTCATTTGGTGGACTGCTGTAAGGGTGACCCTTTATTCCAAAAGTTACTGACTCCTGGTGTTTCTGCTTTTGTGAACTGTCACTTTGTATTTATTCATCTGACAGGGGGGTAGGGGGGTCTTGGGTTTGCACTTGAATCATGCAATAAAGACACTAACACTGGGGGAGGAAAATGACCAAGTGAACACCCTGGCCAGGGCTGGGCAGCACGCACGTGGAGGCGCTGACGTCCACAGGGTTCGGCCAGAGGGCGCTGGGGGTGGTGCCGAAGGACAGGACGTACAGCTTCTCCTTGTGGCTCAGCTGCTCGTCAATGAGGCCCTGGCAGACAGAAGGGTCAGAGGAGGGAGTCAGTTATTAAGGAAAGAGAAGGGAGTTAGACATCTGGTTAGCCCCAGTCGGGGAACAGCAGTCACCAGGGAGTAACTGGCCTAGTTCTGGACAACAGCTACCTACTTGACAGGCAGGAAAGTGTTTTAGAGCCACCCTGTGGAGGACCTGCATCATTCCCCCGGATTAACACAGGGACAGAGAAAATGGCAAGGAATAGCCCCTCCACTGAGGCATGTGCAGGAGCAGCCGACATGGTGACCCTAGAAGTGGGAGGGGGTGGGATGGGGCGGGGATTGGATTGGAGAAAGGCACAGTGCCCTGGAAAGGCCAGGAAAGTGATCCGGTAAGTTGAAAGAAAGCCTGCTTGTTCCCAAACCCAAGCCTGACAAAGAACCCGGCGCCCCCTCCTTGGGGCATACTTGCTTGAACCTCCTTTTCAAGCACAGGTTTTCTTCTTGACTCCTCAACTCTGAGGGTCCCCACAGGACTGCACCCGGGGGAGTGGTGAGCAGCAGGGAGGACTCTCCCTGTGCCCGACTTCCTTTCCCGGTCCACACAGAATGACCATGGCCTGCTCTCGGCCTCTGCAGAGTGTATGCCCCTCTTTGTTCTTATAAATCTCGCCACTGTGGCTTACAACTCCTATGTGAGTGTCCCCGAAGTTCTTCTCCTGCAACACTGCAGAGGAGCCCACTTCCAGACCATGCCAGGCAGTCCTGCTTTGGTCCCGGTCCTCCGGTAACAGCCTCCCGGAAGCAGGGGTGTGGGGCCTGGCTTTACCTCTCGCGGTCCCTCCGTGCTGGGTGTGAGCTGTGCTGATGCAGAGTCACTCAAGGCTCAGCTTAGTGGCCCCACACTGACATTTGCTTCCCACCCACTGGGGATGTGGGATGAGAGCCGTAGCTGCCCACCCGGGCCTGTCCCACAGTCCTCTGTGGTGGGGGACAGGCATGGGCCTCCGGCCTGTGGAGTAACTACAGGCACTTGTTAGCGTGGGTGGCTAGAGGTTAATACAGGAACCGAGCAAGGAATCAGAGATGACTAAGGGCCATAGACTAGGGAGCTGAACTGGACAATAAGCCTGTTTCAGGAGGAAGTTGCGGCTCCCTGGAGCGTGGCTGCATTGCCCCCAGAAGTAATTAACAGACCCCCGCCCCCCACAGGGTACAAGGAGTCTACTCACCCAGACTGTGGTGGAAGAATACACAGTGGAGGGGAGAGTCCCCGCTGGGCACAGGGCAGTAGAGGCCAGGATGGCCCAGGGGGAGGTGCTCCACCCTGAGGCAGAGCAGCGGGAGCCGAGACCGACCACAGGGGCGGAGCCTAGCCTGGGAAAGGGATCCGATTGGACAAGGGACACAGAACCCCGAAGATCTAGAAAATGGGTTGGTTAGGGAGAGGATCCAGCACCTATCTGAAAGCTGGAGAAGCTGATTGGTTAGTTTGAAGGGTCGCCTGGTGCGTCCCAAGCCTGAGTCTATATCCTATCAAAGACTCTTCCCGTCTCCCCCTCTCCCTTTGTCTCTCTCACTGGGTAACACAGGGCTACCCACCCTGTTCCCGCGTGTCCTCCCTCCATAGCAGCCATGGCGTAGCGGCCCGGGGCCACGTGGGCTCCCATGGCGGCCTGGGTCCAGCAAGCAGCGCCCGCAGGGTGGCCTAGCGGGACGGGGCAGACATGGACCCCGCTTCAGATGGCACAGGATGTTTGGATGCTGTCCTTGGCTCTGGGTCTGATGAAGACAGGCTGCACTTCTTGCACACGGGAGGAAGCTGAACCCAGGACAGCCCTTTGATGTTGCTTCTACAATCAATCTTACCACGACAGCGCATCCTCCCGCACACGGGTCCCTGGAATGTTCCCTTGTGACTCCGTGAAGGCCTCGTTTCCACCAGCAGCACCCTCCCCCACTTACTGCAGGCTGCCTACGTTCCGGAGCAGCTCCGAGGGCTGCTGCACACTTGGGTCCGAAGTGTGGGTGGGTTGTGCCTGTGATCTCAGTGTGCTACCGCAGAACCCTAACTGTGGCACCCAGAAAGGGAGGCAGGAGACCCAGGGCAGTCTTTCTCCAAAAGCCTGTGAGTGGGGGATGGAGCACGGCACAGCACCAGCCTTTGACGGTCTTTAGCTGTAGCTGGTGAGTATCCAAGAGTCAGCTGCCTTCTGCCTCTTCTCCCCGAGCTGGAGTCTCACCTGTATGCCTCCAACACCAGCCGCGGGCTGGCTAACATTGAACCAACCATCTGGGGGAGCTGTGGAGACTCTGCCTGAGGACTCGGGACCAGCCTGCACTGACACCCTTTCCGGCACCCACCGAGACCAGGAGCAGGGCACAGGTCTGCGTAACTGGCCCATACTGAACCCTGTAGTCTTTGAACCGGCCACGCACCTAAATGTTAGGACGTACAGGGCAATACAACCCCTGCCAGCCGCGTGGCAAGCTTCCCTGCCACAGGAGAACAGGAGCCAGGAGGACTGAACAGATGAGAAATGCTGGACACCAGGCACTGAACCCCGTAAGGAACTAAAATTGCCAAAGAAGGACCCGACTGCCCATGCACATTTCTGCAGACCCAACCCACCAACCAAGACCCCAAAACTCACTGACGATAAACGGTTCCAGTGGACGCACATAAGGATAAACCTCTGGCTCCTAGGGGCTGCCATCATGGACCCAACACCCCCGGCTCAGTGCTGGGTAGCCCTTCCCTTTGGATATACCCCTCCCCCACCCCCTTTTCCTTAAATGAATTCAGTTTTGCTTTATCCACCGTCTGGGATTGCTATCTAGCCCATCCGCGAACCACCAACTTTAACCTTTCACTAAGGTCCCCATCCAAAGCTCTATGGGTTCCCATAAGAAAACAGCCCCCCTCAACCATGCTTTTTCACAGAGACCACAGAGGTCTTTTCTATGCCAAACTCTGTACCCAGCACTTGACATCCTGTCTTCCCCTGGCAGCCCTGTGAGGGGCCACTGTTAACACCCCCATTTTACACATGAGGAAACTGAGGCAGAGCCGCCACAGAGCAAGGGTGGCAGAGGTGGCTGAGATCCGAGTCCAGTCATCTGATTCGAGTCCTTGGCTTGTCTGTCGTGGACGTGCTGAAGGAAGCAGGCCAGCCGGAAGCCTGTGCCGGACTATGCTTTCCGGGGAACAAGGCTGGGGGGTGGGGGTGGGGGGGTGGACCGTAGGGAGTCCAGAGACAGTGGTGTTAGTAGGGACTGGTCTGGAGAGAACACTACAAGTTCACTGCAAAGAAACGACTCTGAGGTTGGGTTTCTTTCACTACAGGTGCCAATTAGGTGTGAACTGCTCTTTGTAAAACACATCATTTGCATTTGCCATAAACAAGCCAGGAGCCAGCACACAGACGGGACAAGGGTGGTAGAGAGGTTCCAGGTCCCCCTCCTCCGCCAGAGACTTACCAAGAGGTCTTTTTGGAATTCTTCTTTCCGAGGGCCACTGCTGATGGCTGACACATCAATGAGGATGCCGACCCTGGCCCCCTTGATGAGGCCAAATGCCTAGAACCAAAGAGGGCGCCCAGAAATAACCAGCACAGCTCCTGCAGAAATTTCTAACCCCCCCCCCGACCTCAAGAAGGAGCCGGGGAAGGAAGGCCTGTTTCACAGAGGAAAAGGCAGAACCTAGGTCCTGACCGCTGCTCCTGCTTGTGGCGCCTGCTCTCGGAGGTTCCGTCCCTGGTGTTTACTGTCTGCGCTCATGAAGCAGTGCAGGTGCACTGAAGCCACCGTGAGCCGCAGGACGGCGCTTTGTATGAGGCGAGGCTGGGATCGCCACACTAGGCATCTCATCTCACTGCTCTTGACCCCCCTTCACTTCCTGCTTCTCTACCCCTCGGAGGCTGGGCGCTCGCGGCACTGCCCTGGCACGTCTGTTCTGACACCACTGCCATCGCCCTGGCCACGCTGTGACGGCCACGCCAGCCGTTCCTCCGGCGACAGCTGCGCTGTGCGTGGGGATTCTCATTCATGTGAAACCCACACTTCTCCAGGGGCCGTCGGTTCTACTCCATGCTTTTTTGCCTTAAATCCTGCTTTGTTGGACACTCAGTTTCCCCTTCGATTCACGCTCCTGCTCACAGAGATGAGGATTTCATGCCTCTTACCTCCAGCGTTCCCTTTCTGCCTTCTCTTGGCACGTGAGAAAACAGAAACAAGCTGCATTTAAAAAAACCTTCCCAGCAGAGTCCACCTGCCCAGTGCCCACACCCTTGGCCTTGCTCTGTCACTCTGGAGACCTCAGGCCAGCCCTCTGCTGCATGACCGACCCTGTCCGGGCGACAGGCCTGTGCTTTGCAGTCACCCTTCTCCACACAGACACGCTGTGACTGCACAGGAAATCACCTCTGGACCCCACCAGTCTCCGTTTCAGCAATACCTCCTCACCCCCACTTCCTGCGGCCCACTAGGCTGGGCTCCCCCGGCCCCTCGAAAGCTGCATGTATCGCTCTTGCCAACCCAGCGGAGACAGCTGAGGTCTCGGCGCGGTGGACTCCAGGGCACAGGGCACAGCTGGGACGAGCGGGGCACTGCCAGCACACGGCCCCTCAGGACCCCAGCTCCCTGCTCTTCCTTCCGCGCTGGCCAGTCCTCGCTCCTTTGCCGAAGTCTCCTCACGCTGAAGGCTAAATACTGGGCCCTGGCTGGTGTGGCTCAGCGGTTGGAGCATCAGCCTGCAGACCGGAGAGTCCCGGGTTCGGTTCCCACTAAAGGCACGTGCCTCAGTTGCGGTTTTTCCCTGGCCCCGGCTGGGGTCGTGTGGGTGGGAGCCAGTCAATGTGTCTCTCTCACATCAATGTTTCTCTCTCTCTTCCCCCCTCTCTCCCTCCTGCTCTGTCTGAAGATAAATGTAAAAATGTCCTCTGGTGAGGATAAAAAAAAAAAAAAGACTAAATACTGGGACGCCCCTGGGAATGTGACCCTGCACCTGTGGGCCGTGGCCTGGAGCCTGTGAGAGGCAGTGCCTCAGGTCCCACCAGACTCCCCCAATTAGAGTCTGCACGTTCGCCCCCTCCCCCTGGGCTGGGCCGGTGCTCTGTCCTCTTTCTCTTCTGTGTCTACACCAGGGTCTGTCAGTGGTGTCTACACTACAGACGGTGGGCCAGGTACTCTTTGTAGGGAGTGGCCCATGCACTGTGGGACACTTAGCAGCTTCCCTGGCAACCTCCCTTCCCAGTCAGAACCACCAAAGCCCTCCAGAAAGGCCTGAGGTGAAAGCAAACTGGACCAGAAAAGCATCCACTGGAGGAAGACAGGCTAACGGATAAGGGAGCAGGTGGAGGTGAGTCAGCCCGCCACCCCTCTTCCTTCCTCGGGTCTGAGGGGGATGTTCAATGAACCTTTCGGGAGCTCTGTGCAGGTGACTGGCCTCTCTTGTCCATCTCTTACAGATCTCTGGTTAAATGGTCCAGGGCCCATCTCTTCTCAGCCGCCCATGATCTGTGTCCTCTCTGGTAAGAGCACCCTGGCTTTCTATGTATAGCATCTGTCCCTTTCTCCGTCCACGAGGTCTGGGGGTTGCTCACCCTCCTGCCTTGCCCCTGCTCTGGTTTTCCCTGGGAACGAGCACTTGTTACAGTTCCTAACTACTTGTTGTATCTCATCCCCTTGGCAGTGGCCATTGTTCTAAACTGGCCCAGCAAGAGTTAATCCCAGGACCTGGGAGGGTGTCCCGAGAAAGGTAGGTGGGGTCCCTATCGGCATGTCACTCTAGTTGGTGACACGTAGCTTAGAGCTGCTGAGGACCATCTTCCCAACCTGGGAATAGCCTTCCTGAGAAGAAGACCCACCCAAGGAGAGCAGAACCCAGAAACAAAGAGGTGACATTGTTTGCGTCCCTAGACACAGCTGGGTGTGGGTTTTTAATTTATGCAAGTCAAGAGGTTTCTCTTTTAGCTGGAGACCATTTAAATGGGAGGTCTGTGATGGGCACCCGAAAGGGTTCTAACAAAGACGGAGGGAATGAGTGAGGGGCAAAGCATGAAATCCACCTGTTACCTGTTTGCTGCTCTCAGTGAGCCACTGAAGTCTCCGCTGATACAGGTCGATCACTCTGTGAAAACATCAGATTCCGCGTCACCCATGGCCAGCGCTGTCCCCGGGCAACAGACCCTTACATGGAAGGGAAGCGTGGATGGGATTGTTTGTTCATGTGTTTGAGGTGCTGGGAGAATAAGAGGTAGGGTTTAGCAGAGGAACGAAGGTATTCACTTGGCAGGGGTGATGGAGGGGGAGCTGCGGAAAGGGCACTGCGGGGGTGCTCCCCCGTGGGGACGCCATGGACACAGCAGACGACTCGCTCAGTGGGACCAGAGTGGGCTCTGAGGGAGGGCAAGTCTGTGTGGGGTCCTCATGAGGAAGGTGGAAAGCACCTGCTTTTCACAAACCCGTCCTCTCAGGGGGACTCTGCCGTCCCTGGAGACGATCAAGAGGCACACCTGAGGCCGCCCCGCAGTGCTCGGTGCACTGATAGCAAAGGTAACTCCGCTTCCAAAAACAAGCAGCAAACCACTGGCACCAGCATGTAACAGATGCTGAGCTTAGAGATCCAGTCACTGGGATGCAACGGATTTGCCCTCATTGAAGGCTGGGGGATTTGAGGGCTGAGGGAAGGGCTAGGAGACCTTTGGAGGTGAAATCATGGGGCAGCGGGTGGAGTTTTCAGGCGCACAGGAGTGTGAATAGGGCTCAGGGTATGAATTTCACAATGAGACATGCTTGTTCTGGAGATCAGCTGTGTACTAGCTGTGCGACCTTGGGCGGGTTTGGTAACCTCTCTCAGCCCAGTTTCATCAGCTCCAACATGAAGGTAGTAATGGGACTCTATCCAAGTCAATGTGCCAAACATCAATTTACTGAAAGCTAATGCCCTGAAAATCCATTTGCCAAATGACCAATGAAATGAATAGACTCAAACATTCCTTAAAATGCTGGATTCACAATTAAAATCAACCAACCAAAATGTTGCAGAATTCTTTAAAACCTGTTTAAGCCTTCCAACCCAATTAAAAAAATGCTATAAAAGTTACAGTCAAAATGTTTTGATAAATTTGGCAAATTGGTCATTTAGCAACGGACTTTAGTTAACTTTGGAGTAATGCAATGCTTCATGTTATCGTGAGAACTGAGTAAGGTGATGCATGCAGCCCCTAGCGGAATTCCGGACACTTGAATACACGTCAGCTGCTAATTATTGCCACAGCTTTGTACGAAACAGGAGCCACGGATCACAGACCGCATAACCCAAAAGAAAATGTACATGTGCTACCAAACTCTGGTTGGGAGGGGGAGCCGGCGGGTCTGACATGCATTTATAAGTGTGACCCCAACCCACTGGTCACGACAGTGGTCCCTCTGAGCTGTTACACATCAGATGAGGCTGGCTTTGTGTTTGTCCCAAGGGAACATCGAGTTCAGAAGGCTGGGAAAAACCGAGATGGTCCAACCTCTTTCTGAGAAAAAGGGAAACTGGGGCTAGAAGTGGAGAGAGACTTGCCCAGAGTCCCAGAGGCTGTCAGTGTGCCCACGGGAGGAATCCCTGAGCTCCGGGCTTGCTGGAGGGCAGGGGACACTCACTCAGAGAGCTTTGATTCAAACCGGCGGATGGCCTGGGCTGAGAGGTGCACTTTCTTCGTGGCGGTGCTGCCCTCCTCCCTGAGGAAGGAAGGCCGGCTGAAGGGCTCCCTGGGCCCAGTGACGGCGGCGTACGGTGGGCAGGGGTGAGGGGGCCTCAGACTTACAGCACAGCTGTGCCCTGGCTGAGCAGGTCAGCCAAGGTGAGTCTCTCAGACTTCAAACTGTGAGTCAAAAGCCAGTCTTGCGAGTCATCCCATGCTGAAGGCTGGGTCTCGTCTCCCCGCAGCCTCTGTGAGACAGAAGCCAGAGTCAGACAGAAAAACCGTGGAGAGGGCACGGCTGAGCATGCCCGGTTCTCGGTCCTCTCCACACAGATGCCCAAGGGCTGCCAACTCTGACAGTCCTACCTGGACGCAGTCCTGTGCGGGATCCCCTTGCTGAGGAACCGGTGTGTGTGGAGGCCTGTGCTCTGGGTCCCTCCTCACCTCCTCCCGAGTATGAGGCGGGACAGTTCAGGGGTCACTCGCCACAGCTGCCTCGAGAGGGACTGTGTATGCACACATCCCACAGCCAGACCATATGTGACCCCCGACCTCTGCCACAGCTGGCCCGGAGGGTCTGGATTCGGTCAATGGTGCCAGCAGTCCTGTCTTTTGTCCTTTTTCCAGCTCAGGACCAACCAGGGAAAGTCACACATGCCCGCAAGCCAAGCACCTGAGATGCCTGACTTCCAGGTGGGCGCCTGCACGTCCCCAGCCACAGCTTCGAAGGGTCCCCACTCCCCCGCCAAACGCAAGTGGCCGTGGGCCGCTGCCTGATCTCGCGGGCACGGCTGAGGTTTGTGTCCACACCTGCTGCCTCTGTCCTCCGGGTGGGCGAGTTCTGCCTCTCAGTCAGCCTGAGGGTCCCCGACAAACCTCTACTGACTGATGGGAGGGGGGAAGGGTTTATCCTGTCCACTCCCGAGCTGGACGCAGGGGCGCTGGGTTCCCATTTTAGAGGAAGACTTCCAGCCGTCACAGGAGCGGCCCCCTGACTTGTACCTAGTGGCCCGTGTCACGTGTAGTGCTAAGCTCAGACGGGGTGGCCCGGTGTGGAGCTGAAGTCCTTCGGGGAAAGCACTTGGCACCAGTGATGCTTTCTGGGAGCCAGAGGTCGAGTCCGCTTGGACTGTCCCCTCTGTGGGACGCTGGCGTTCCTTCCTCTCCCCAGAGGGTTGTGAGCCCCACTATGAACCAGGCACCCGCGTGGCGCCAGAGCCACAGCGGCACAAGGTGCTGGACAGAACAGGAGGGACACGCCCTCGCCCTCGTGCTACGGGGCAGCGAGGAAGAAACGAGTCAACGACACAATGTCAGAATGGAGCAGTTCCAGAGGGCGATGGGGCAAGGCCCTGGCCGTTGGCTCAGCAGTCAGAGCCCACAGACCAAAGTCGCAGGTTCAATTCCTCGTCCAGGGCATGTGCTCCGTTGCAGGTTTGATCCCCAGGCCTGGTCACAGTCATGCAGGATGCAACCAATCGATCTTTCTCCCTCCCACCGTATCTAAAAATCAATGGAAAACTGTCCTGGGGTGAGGATTTTTTTTTTTTTTATCCTCACCTGAGGACATTTTTCCATTTTTTGTTCAGATAGAGCGGGAAGGGGAGAGAGAAAGAGAGAAACATTGACGTGAAAGGACACATCGAGTGGCTGCCACCCACACAACCCAACCAGGGCCGGGGACAAACTGCAACCAAGGTACGTGCCCTTAGCGGGAACCGAACCTGGGTCTCTCTGGACCGCAGGCCAATGCTCTAACCGCTGAGCCAAAATGGCCAGGGCTGGGGTGAGGATTTTAAAAAATAGAAAAGGAAGCCCTGGCCGGTTTGGCTCAGCGGTTAGAGTGTTGGCCTGCGGTCCGGAGAGACCCCGGTTCGGTTCCCACTAAGGGCACGTACTTCGGTTGCAGTTTGTCCCCGGCCCTGGTTGGTCGTGCGGGTAGCAGCCACTCGATGTGTCTCTTCACATCGATGTTTCTCTCTCTCTCTCCCTTCCTCTCTCTCCCTCCCACTCTATCTGTACAAAAAATGGAAAAATATCCTCGGGTGAGGATAAAAAAAAAAAAAAATAGAAAAGGAAGACGGAGCAGGGTAAAGTGATAGAAAATGACTAGGGTGGGAATGGGGAGGTTGCGTCAGCCTCTCTGGGCCAGGATCTAGGGTTAAGTGGACCCAGCCCTGTGCACATCTCGGAACACACTCCAGTCAGAGGCATGGGGGGGGGGGTCTGAGGGTTCGAAGACAGAGAGGTGACCTCTGGGTTGGAGTGCAGGGCAGCATGACCCCAGGAGGCTGAAGGGGGGCAAGGCTGGGCTGGACGGGCTGTGGCAAGAGCTCCCAGCACAATGCCGCTGTCCCGTCAGCTCTTCGGAGAACCCACACACCAGCTCATGGAGTAAAGGCCACTGACTCTGGACTTTATTTCGCTTAAATTACTCGACTGAAACAACTGTACTTTCATTCAAAGTATGTTTTTTGTTGTTGTCGTTGTTAATCCTCACCTGGGGATATTTTTGCATTAATTTTTTAGAGAGTGGAAGGAAGGGAGGCAGGGAGGGCATAGAAGGGAATAGAGAGTGAGGGGGGGGGAGGGCGCATCACCTGGTTGCTTCCTATACAACTCGAACCAAGCACATGCCCTTGACTGGAATCAAACCTGAGACCCTTTGGTCCCTGGGCCGATGCTCTAACTGCTGAGCCAAACCGGCCAGGGCCAAAATATGCCTGGGTCTCTCTAGACCGCAGGCCGACGCTCTAACCGCTGAGCCAAACCGGCCAGGGCCTATTTCTTTATTGGCTTATTAAGAGACATTATCCTGTTGCTGTTGGCTTGTGGAACTATTATAATTCCCACAGTGAACCCGTGTTAAATAAATGACTGGCAAAGACATTCTGTTTCTGAACATAGATTTGCACCCCAAACAAATGGGGTTCTCCATTTACTGGCTTTGTGATGCTGAGCAAGTCATGTGTCCCTCTCTTTACCTGTAAAACCGTGAGGCTGCAGTATAGAACATGTGTTTCTGCATAAATGGTTCTCAACAGCAGCAGAAGACAGCGACAGTATAAGGCTATTATGTTCCAGCAAAATAGTATTGTACCTTAAGTGTTGTGCCTGAGGCCTGCTTTCTCTATTTCAAAAGGAAATTGTCAAGTGTTAAAGAAGTGTGAGAAATACTAGTAATTAAAGCAAACACTTAAGTAGCACTTATTATGTGTCAAGTACTTTCAGAGCTGGGATTCAAACAGAAGGGAACAGTGCTAGTCATGCGTAACCACAACAGATTGTCTTGCAGTTACATCCAACTGACTGCCTTCACCAAGAACTGAGAGCAGCTCGCTGGTGTGGCTCAGGAGGCGACCGGTCCATGCTCTTTCCCATCCCTGTCTCTCCCCCCCTCTCCCTTCCTCTCTCTCTCAAATCAATTTTTAAAAATTAGAAGGAAAAAAAAAAGAATTTAGAGAAGGGACTGAAAAGATAACTTTCTTATTACTTGATTCTATGCTAATTAATATCCTGCCCTTGGACAACATGCCTCAAACCACCCTCCTGTCCCACACCTAGGGAGACACTGCCACATGTCACAGGGACACTAGATGTCACCCTTCTCCTCTCTCAGGACTCATCCACGTCCCAGGCGATGATGACACAGCATGGCAGGTGTAATTCACCTCTCTTCCATTTGAAATGATCCATCATGTTTTGGACATGGATTTTGTATTATTACTCCTTTAAGATTCACTTTTAAGTTCATTGTGGATTTTGACTGTAGGGCACAGAGATTACTTCCAAAGAACGAGCTTCACATAGAGAATAGTTCAATTTTTGCATTAGGCTTCCTAGTTTTCTTTCCCATGCTACTCATCTGTGAGGCAGAGGAGGCTGTGGTTGATAAATGCAGGGCTGGTCCTGTACACCTGGGAAGTCATGTATGTATATCAACATCTGAAGTCATTGAAAGAATCCTTCAGAATCTCAAGACTCTGTTGACATTTCTTCATTTCCTTTTAAGTAGACGTGCTTTCCCATAAGTGCGAGTACTCAAGAAAGGTAAGCCAGGACTATTTTCCTGACTGTTTAACTGCCAGCATTAAAACTGTATTGTTGCCTGGCTGGTGTGGCTCAGTGGTTGAGCGTCGGCCCATGCACTAAGAGGTCACCAGTTCGATTCCCGGTCAGGACACTTGCCCAGGTTGTGGGCCCGATCCCCAGTTGGGGCATGCAGGAGGCGGCCAATTGATGTTCTCTCTCATCAGTGTTTCTATCTCTCCCTCTCCCTTCCTCTCTTTCTCAAATCAATAAAGAAAAAATTTTTTTTTAACTGTATTGTTTTGGACTGATTATGATTTCACAGGTGTGATGTTTAAACTCTAGTGTAGATTAGACAGATGGTCATGGGCCGGGCTTGCAGCTGGCCACCGCACGGCACTGGGCTCCACGGTGTGAAGAAGTCTGAGTTTGGACGACCCACTCACCATCTTGGGAAGATGACACCCACACTGAGACTCAGCTAACACCATGGTCCTGGTTATTCTACAGGAAATTGTTCGGCCATTACCCTCTTGCTCCAATGGCAACTCGTGGAACTGATTTTTAGATCTAGACTTTAGGGAATTCTAAAAGAAAACCAAATCTCAGGATGGGGAGTTTTAGAATTCAATTCCGTAGACTTCAGGCTTTGAAAACATGGACAGTCTGTTAGGACAGAAAACAGCCCTTTCTCTTTGCTATGATCTTTCCACAACTTATGAGAAGCACCTGGAAGTTAAATGCGGAGATTGCTGGTGTCTGTAACTTCAAACCCCTTTCTACCCGAACAGTAAACAGACAGGGCTGGGCTCTCTCCAGCCGCACTGAGCATCCCAAAGTGATTCACACCAGAGTCTCTAATGACTAGAAACTTCCTTCCCCTTCCCCCCTTCAAATAAACCCCTCTCTTCCGAATTCGTTATAACCCCTCAGGTAAAAATCCCCTTTTTACACTCTCTACTCCAAAGCACATTTTACAGACTACAGAAGATATGATAAGAAACCCTTTGGCACATCAGCCAGACCGTCTCCTGAGGACAGACAAACCGCAGCTCCTCAAGGTAACCAACCCCGCGTCTATTCAGCTTCACCGAGATCTCCTCCAGCCCCAACTGCCCTTGACTCCCAAAGCCCCCAGTGACAGAGCAACTCACTCTTTCTGCCCTGCCCTGGCATTGCCAGTCAGCGCCTGGGTCCTTTCCCTGACTGTGGGGAAAGAGAAGTAAACTTCCTCCCTTTCCTCTCCGCTCTTGTGAATGCTTTTTAAAAAAATATGTTTTTACTGATTTTTGAGCGAGAGAAGGAGGCAGAGAGAGATAGAAACATTGATGTGAGAAAGATATGTGGATCAGCTGCCTCCTGCACGCTCCCTACTAGGGATGGAGCCCACAGCCCAGGCATGTGCCCTGACCAGGAATGAAACCAGGACCTCTCAGTTCATGGGACGACGCTCAATCCACTGAGCCACACTGGCTCGGCTGAGTTGTGAATTCTTTCACAAGCCTGCATCACTGGTCCCCCAAAATACCAACACACAGTTCTTCGCATGCCCCTGAATATTTCATGACATGCTCAAGAGAACTAGAAATTTCTATAAACAGCACAGACACTCTTCAGTCATTTGTAAAGGGGAGGATTAGGGCTGAAGGCCTCACTAGTCTTTTCCTGCCCTGGACTCTGGTGTGAAGGAGAAACACCCAGCGTGGACACATTCCGTAGGCCTCATGTGGTTTGTGAACACTGACGCGGTTAAAGCACAAAGATTTTTACCAGCAAGTCCTGCGTCTGGTTAACGTGCGTGACCAGCAGTCCATGGTCTGGATGTTGGCCAAGTCCACTGACATCCGGGTTCGGCGGCTTCTTTGGATCTCTGCCCGTGTGTCTATTCCTGCTACAAAAGTGACTCGGTCAGTGCCCCAGTGCTGGACACGGGTCCACGCTGGCAGTGCCCCATGGAGAGCGTGACTCCCGTGCAGCAGGGAGGGTCCCGCAGGGCCCTGGCCTGATGTGGAGCCAGGCTCCTGAGCACTTTTACTCCTCTGCTCTGGTAGACAAGCAGGCCCTCCAGGAGATAACACAACGACCCTTACCTGTCTCACTTCAGGGAGGTGGTTCCCGTCAACTCCCAAGAGCAAAGTAGTATTGTTGTCTTCATTTACAAAATCAGAGAAGACACTTACCAGCGGTTTTGCAGATACTTATTGTCTTGACCTTGGAAGACATGACTAGTTTGTGTAGCCATTATAAAAACCCTGGATGTTGTCTTCCTAGGGAGGAAAAGAGTTCCAGAAAAGAGAAAGGTAAGTGCAGCCTACAGAGCAGCCTTGGGAGTCTCTATTAAGTTCAACTCTCCTTTAACCATCCGATAAACACTCATCAAACACCCATGCGGTACCAGGCTTTGTGCGAGGTGCTGAGGATATAACGGCGAACAAGGTAACTGAGGGGTTCCCAGGGTGCTGACCTTTGGCCTGGAGAGTCTTTGTTGTGAGGTGGTCTTGTGCACTGCAGGGTGCTGAGTAGCACCCCGAGACTGTGCCTACTAGATGCCAGCAGCACTCCTGCCCCTCAATTTGTAACAATCCAAAGTGTCTGTAGCATGGCCTGGTATCTCCTGGGGGACAACATCCCCAGGAAGAATCCCTGAGCTAGGCTCGCTCTTGTCCTTTGTGGAGCTGGATTCGACGGGGAGACAGATGTTAGGATTCACTGTATTTATTATAAATGTGGAACGTGCTATGAAGGAAATAAACAAGATGACATGATAGAGAATAATCAGTTAAGAGCTCTACGTTGCATAGGTAAGGTGGTCACTGAAGGTATCTTTTGAGGTTGGACCTTCCTGGAGGATGAGACGGAGGTGGCCATGTGAAGAGCACATTGAAGCCACACAGAAAGGGATCAGCAAGTGACCGCAGCGGTTTTGAGGAGGGGAAGGAAAATATCGGGATAATGTTGTAAGACAATGAAAAGCTAGGAAAATTCTGGGACGTGTGGAATAGAGAAACTGAGGCAGGAAAAGTTAAAGCCAAAAAGCTTTGCAAGTCACTTGTAGCAGGGCCTTGAGAAGAAAGGGTTAAAACCTCCCCTTCTCACAGAAGGGTGCAGGAGAGGAGGGGGGAAGGGAAGGGGGAGAGAAGGAGGAGGAATCAGACCACTTGGTGCAAATCATCCTGAAGCTGTTAAAGCAGGGAGGAGGGAAGAACAGTATGAACAGAAGCCAGCAGTTGGGATCTAACTGCCAGGGGCTTCCCATAAATTGTAGAAAAACTGTAACAAAGAAAAGGCGAGACCTTCAGATTAATCTGTAGCAGGATGTCTAGCAGTAGAATTTTTTAAACAACTTATAGACAGGAGGGTATCTGAGGCAGAAACCCCCACCCCACTGGCTCTTCAGATTCACTGAGAGCCCGTCTGTGCTTCATGAGCCAGATGCACGTTTGCTCACTTTGCTTCATTAATAATTGTGCATGCTTTAACTTTTTAACAAATTCACTTGCTTTAATGTTTAAAATTTATTTATTTATTTATTTATTTTACAGAGAGAGGAAATGAGAGGGAGAGAGAGAGAGAAACATCGGTGAGAGAGAACACAGATTAGCCGCCTCCTGCATGTCTCCCTCTGAGGATTGGGCCCACAACCTGGGCATGTGCCTTGACCAGGAATCAAACCAGCAACCTCTTGGTGCACGGGACAGTGCTCAACCACTGAGCCACACCAGCCAGACCAATTATTTTTTCACTTATTTTCATTGTTGAATGTATTACAGATGCTTCTCATTTTCTCCCCACTGACCCCCTCCTCCCTACTCCTGCCTCCCTCCTGCCTTTCCCCACACTGTCGTCTGTGTCCATTGGTTATGCATATAAGTTCTCTGGTTTATTTCTTTCCACCCCCCAACCCCTCTTCCCTTTGAGATTTGTCAGTCTAACAACCAATTTGTAAATTTGTACTTCTTAATCCCTTCACCTTTATCACCTATCCCTCCAACCCCCCTCCCATCTGGCAAACAACAAAATGTTCTCTGTATCTATGAGAATGTTTCTGTTCTGCTTGTTCATTTTGTTTGTAGATTCAATTGTAGATAGATATGTATTCATTACCATTTTGTTTGTTCATATTTTTTTATCATTTTCTTCCAGAAGACCATTCATCATTTCATATAATAATGGTTTGGTGGTGATGAACTCCTTTAGCTTTTCCTTGTCTGGGAAACTCTTTATATGGCCATCGATTCTAAATGACAGCTTTGCAGGATAGAGTAATCTTGATTGTAGGTTCTTGCTTTTCATCACTCTAAACATTTCTTGCCACTCCCTCTTGGCCTGCAAGTTTCTTTTGAGAAATCAGCTGACAGTCTTATGGGAACTCCCTTGTAGGTAACTAACTGCCTTCCTCTTGCTGCTTTTAAGATTCTCTCTTTGGGATTCAGGGTCAAGATGGCTGGTAGGTAAACACGGTATCACATCCTCCCACAACCACATCAAAGTTACAACTAAACTACAGAACAACCATCATTCAAAACCGCCTGCAATCAAGCTGAATGGAAGTCCTACAACTACGGAATTAAAGCAACAGCCGCATCAAGACTGGTAGGAGAAGCAGAAGCACGAGGGGGGGCGGCGGTGGCGGCGGCGGTGGCGGCGGCGGTGGCGCTACGGTTTGGTCCCACACCCACGTGTGGCGGATAAAATCAGAAGGATACCTCGGCTGGGAAGGTCCTTTCTGAGGACTGAGGGGTCCCCGTCCCACACCAGGTGCCCTGCTCAGGGTTCCAGTGCCAGGAAGAGAATCCCCATCACTTCTGGCTGGAAAAACCAGCAGGAACTGAGGCTCAGGGAGGCTGACGCGGCTGGAGCCCCAGGCAGCTCCTTAAAGGGCCCGCGCACGGACTTATCGGACTCTCTCCCTCTAAGCTTGGAGGGGAGGCAGCTCGAAGGGCGCCAGAGACATACAGGGAAGAACTGAGCTGTTTGGCACTGGAGCCACCGCTGGAGAGGGGGCTTCCGCGGGGACAAACGTGCTGTCAGAGGCCTTTGTTTCTTTGGTGAGCCCTTCCCTGGGGCGGCAGACAGCTGCCATATCTGGGACTCCAGCAATACTGGCTCACACTGGTTGCCCCGCCCTGGTGACTCCCTGAGGCCCTGCCCACCCCACCCAACTTTCAGGCCCACCCCACCCAACTTTCAGGCCCACCCAAGCTGTTGCCACTTGCTTAACCATAGGATTGGCCTGTCTTGGATCCTGCTTCAGGTTTTTCCTAAATTCTTTCAAACGAGCAGCATCTGGTCTCAGCTAGCCCAATACCGCTCGTTAAGTAATACACTGAAACAAACACAGGGAGGCAGCCAAAATGAGGAGACAAAGAAACAGGTCCCAAATGAAAGAACAGAACAAGATCCCTAGGAAAAGAACTAAGCGAAATGGAGATAAGCAACCTAACAGATGATGAGTTCAAAATACTGCTTATAAGGATGCTCAATGAACTTTTTGAGAACCTCAGTGAACTTAGTGAGGGCCTCAAGAGTGTAAAAAAGGACCAGTCAGAAATCATGGATGCACAGTTAGAATTGAAGGAGGCATTAACTGAAATAAAGAATAATTTACCCAGCTTCAATAATAGAGTACGTAAATCCAAGGAGCAAACCATCGATTTGGAATATAAGGAAGCAAAAAATGCCCAATCAGAACAGCAAAAAGAAAAAAGAATCCAAAAAAAATGAGGATAGTGTAAGGAGCCTCTGGGACAACTTCAAGCGTGCCAACATTCGCATCTTGGGGGTGCCCGAAGGAGAAGAGAGAGAACAAGAAATCGAAAACCTGTTTGAAACAATAATGGCAGAACACTTTCCTAACTTGGTGAAGAAACATACAAGTCCAGGAAGCACAGAGAGTCCCAAACAAGATGAACCCCAAGAGGCCCACACCAAGACACATCATCATCAGAATGCAAAAGGTTCAAGACAAAGAGAGAATCTTAAAAGCGGCAAGAGAAAGGCAGCTAGTTACCTACAAGGGAGTTCCCATTAGGCTGTCAGCTGATTTCTCAAAAGAAACTTTGCAGGCCAGAAGGGAGTGGCAAGAAATATTCAGAGTGATGAAAAGCAAGAACCTACAATCAAGATTTCTCTATCCTGCAAAGCTGTCATTTAGAATTGATCGCCATATAAAGACCTTCCCAGACAAGAAAAAGTTAAAGGAGTTCATCACCACCAAACCATTATTATATGAAATGATGGTCTTTTTGAAGAAAAAGATAAAATATATGAACAAACAAAATGGCAATGAATACATATCTATCGACAATGGAATCTACAAACAAAATGAACAGGCAGAACAGAAACATTCTCATAGATACAGAGAGCATTTTGTTGGTTGCCAGTTGGGAGGGGGGTTGGAGGAATGAGTGAAAAAGGTGAAGGGATTAAGAAGTACAAATTCATTGCTAGACTGACAAACCTCAAAGGGAAAAAGGTTGGGGGGGGTGTTGGAAGAAATAAACCAGAGAACTTATATGCATAACCAATGGATACAGACAATAGTGTGGGAAAAGGCGGGAGGGGGGCAGGAGTGGGGAGGAGGGGGTTAATGGGGGGAAAATGTGGAACATCTGTAATACATTTTACATTCAACAATAAAGATTAAAAAAAAAAAAGATTCTCTCTTTGTCATGAACCTTTTGCATTTTGATGATGATGTGTCTTGGTGTGGGCCTCTTGAGGTTCATCTTGTTTGGGACTCTCTGTGCTTCCTGGACTTGTATGTCTGTTTCCTTCATCAAGTTAGGGAAATTTTCTGCCATTATTGTTTCAAATAGGTTTTCGATTTCTTGTTCTCTCTCTTCTCCTTCTGGCACCCCCAACATGCCATTGTTGGCACACCTAAAGTTGTCCCAGAGGCTCCTTACACTATCCTCATTTTTTTGGATTCTTTTTTCTTTTTGCTGTTCTGATCGGGTGTTTCTGCTTCCTTATATTCCAAATTGATGGTTTGCTTCTTGGCTTTACCTACTCTACTACTGAATCTGTGTCAATTATTCTTTATTTCAGTTAGTGCCTCCTTCATTTCTGACTGTACATCCACGATTTCTGACTGGTCCTTTTTTATGCTCTTGAGGCCCTCACTAAGTTCACTGAGGTTCTAACTAAGTTCACTGAACTTTCTTTTTTTCTTTTTTTAATCCTTACCCTAGGACATTTTTCCATTTTTTGTTCAGATAGAGCGGGAGGGAGAGACAGGAA